TTTTTTAAGTTTTCCTTGTTTACTCGCAGTGAAAATGTTATGTGTCCGTAATTTACATGAAGACATAGCAACGTATTAATAATCTGTTATTGTTGTTGTTGTTTTCCTTTGTCAGGAAGCAGGAAGTGTCAAGCAGAATTATACAGGAAAGAACAAACACCTTGAGACAGCCGCCATCTTGGTACAGCCATACTTCGTCTGACGTCAGTCGGCGCCAGGTAGAGAGAACGTCTTTAGGCAGCAGGTAGTAACAAACCGTGGCCGCGGTGGACTTCGTGCCGTCTTCAAGATTCTCGGCTGTCTGTTGTGTGAGAGGACCGTTACGAAAGGTTAATGACCCGCCTTTTCCCAAGGCGTTTATGGTGATAGTAAACTGAATATAATCAACGAATAAACCACCGAGTGAGCGAAGCGAGGAATGGAAGCCTGTGATTGGTCGACACAGCTAGGCTATATGATTGAATGAACCATGTATGTACCGTTCAATGAATAATAAAAGTATGATGAACGTTCAATTTAGGTCCCGTACACCAAAAAAAAACCCTCATATTTGAATGATATTCTTACCTGAAAATGAACGGCCGACCTGAAGGACTCTTTGTACCAGCCGCCCTCAGGGTGTTTTTGCATGTTGTACAACTCAACCAGCTGATGGAACCCACTGAAACAACAAAAGGGTGAAGGACGACGTCTGAAACGTTTGGATGTAGCTCAAAAATGATCCAGTCGTAGTTTATTTTATGTGTATGCCCAGACAACCATCGCCGTTGATCAGAGACACGTTTTGGCACGTCTTATAATTTTTCTACCCGGTATAAAAAGTACACTAGCTTAGTAAGTAGAGTGTTTTACGTTCGGGAAATTGCAGATTCAAACCCCGGCCAGACCATAAACATTATAAACTGTTTTCTATGCTTAATACTCATCAGCAGATATGAGAAAGAGTGTGGGAGTTGCCCAACGGCTATATAGAAACGAAGATCCGCCCATATACCAGTACACAGAAAGATAACTAGGACGGAAAGTGAACTTCGAGCGAATGCCTGGATGTTCAGAAACTATTGTTAGGAAACTAAGAACGGAAAGGCAAAAATCAAACATACCTCTTCTTCATAATTTCCTGAGACATTCTCAATGTCGACTTTACTTCTTGTACTTGAAAAAGACAAATACGTAGTAGTCTTCTTGGCGTTGTCTGTCCTTCGCACTGAGCATGTGTGGATACGGGACCAGCTTTTCTGGTTTTGGAAATTAAACATATTTCATGTCGGAGCAATGACATCAGATTGACTATAACTGATGTTTGCATGCACTTACTGTTTTTTCGGAAACACCAAATGATCAAAGTATAGTTGTATAATCAACTATGTACCTGAATGTAAACAAATAAAGCACCAGCCCATGCATTTTTTGTTTGAGTTGATCTTTACGTTGGAAATCAATAGTCAAAGTTTGTTACTACATTCTGACTCACCTAAGTTTGACGTGTCAGCCTACGGTAGAATGAATGAACTGCCGTTTTTGTCTGCCGTACAATATATGCAAGGAAAAGTATGTATTTAGAAAATAATATGATCCGTTTCTCTCAAAAGAGGACAAGACTGTCAGTGCACGTGAGTGATTCAAAGTTCTCACGTCCTTTTGTTATTCTAATTCTTTGCCCCCTAGCCTATCCCGGGACTGCGAAGAGTCCTTGGGACGTGTAATGCAGATTTCAACGTGACTCAGAACAATTATAGGCTATAACGTGTCAGAACTGTGGTCATGGGGGTCATGAGTGTCAGTGTCCGGGCGATGACTTCTTTTTCTTCCAACCAAGAAGAATCAAATGGCCTTGGAAAGAGACATTGTGAAGAGCTCGCTGACCTTGTGGAAAGCTCACTGACCTAGTTGAGTAATCGTATATGTCAGAATGAATCACAAAAAAGGAACAGTTCACAGCTACAAGTAACACTATACATTGTAAAGCTAGCACGATTAACTATTATATACTATAGTTCATTCGACTTCTTCTAGTGCTCCATTATGGTGGCTGAAATAGCAGATCAAAAAATAGGTAAAGGCCTAAAGGTATGGTCTTTATAGAAAGAGGTTTGTAACTCATTATGAATGTACGCATTATACGTTACATCTCTTTAAGATTATGAAGTCCATATCTCTGTTGTGTGTACGTATGTAACGCTGATATTTCCTTAGTCGCCTAGGGTATAAATAGAGTACTTACCTTCGGTTAGCAACCGTTCTTCTCGGACGGGACAGGCCGTTTGAGGAGCACGTCGATCACGTTATGTACAGAACCACCACATTTATCGATGACAGTATATACTTTCTGGTGTGAGTGAATCAGCCCTATGTCCGGTCTTTAAAAAACTGGTGCGTCACACCTTTAAAGGGCTTTTATCGTCTTTCATCAACCATTTACATTTCAACCTTTCACCTTTCAACCTTTCACCTTGTACTAGACTTACCTGGCGTATATTGTTGTTACCTAGACAGGCATTACCGGATGTACAAAAGCAGACTGGAATGTATCCCTTCGGCTTTTGGTAAATCTCATTTGGTGCAGTATTCATATAAGCCGTAACTACATGTAACTCCAGGTTCTACCTAAGAATATGTTCCTACAGTATATGATTGATGACGAGTTCGATAATATTTTCGAGGGTGATAACACGGGTATAAACATGTACGTGTAAAAAATAAAGCGGCGGCCCATATCCGTATATTGTTTAAAGCATTGACTTACTTGACATCAATCGTCATTAGTACATTACCATTTTCTAGCCTATGTGCCATCCTGACGCTCAGGCTATCACGTAGCCAGTGACAGTAGGGAGTTTCCGGTAACTACGGAGGATGGCGCCATGGCCTACGTGCAGTCGTGCAGTCTCTTTATAAGGTGTTTATCTGTTAACGCGACCACAGGCTATAGAACACAGGGTCAAACCATGAGGTTAGAGGTACGGTAGAAACCATTGTCTCAATGGGGGGCATCAACGTAACTGAAGCACTGGAAAAGATTTAAAGCTAGAAGCTGACACTTTTACTGATTTTTGTACAGTGGCCGCTGCTTCGGTTGTTAGCTAGTGTCAACTTAAGACATTAATGTACATGTAAGCGTATGTAACGTCATTGGGTCGCCAAAAATGGACCAATACTGCACGGCTATTTCTTGCCATCAGTTTACAATATTATTGTGCGGTCAAGGTTATAACATGTCTAGTCATGCACCCCTATATCACCCCAAACGCAAAGTCAACATACGTCACTTCTTTTATTGCAGCAGATAAAAAAATGATCAATATGGTTCTTTTGTTCTGCTGACTGGACTTAAAGATATACAAGATTATTTCTTACAACAAAGACAGACGGGATATATTTGTATTTTGATCGCATTTAAATTACCACAGACTGAAGTTCGACCAGGCATGTAATTGGGATCTAAGCTTGCAGAGTGTTCAAATACATATACACCGTATGCTTGTACAAGTTTGTTTTATATCAATGTCCAAAAGGAAACACGTTTTTTTACGAAACGTTACGACACATCCTATGTAGCATTGCTATGGAAATTTCGAAACATGACTTTGGACTGGGTATATACTGTCATAGTAACATCGAAAATCTTGAATATACATTGATTATGTTCTTAAATCAGTATCCAGAAGAAAACACGAGCGAGTTTTATTTTACGAAACGTTACGACACAAAATTATGTAGCATTGCTACGGAAACTTCGAAACATGACTTTGGGCTGCGCATTGCCGCGTAACATGGACTTGTACTCGGCAGGATGGGGGCTCATAACCCGCACACCGTGGCCCCTTCCCGCCGATACCAGCCACGGGTGAACCGTCTCCTCACTCTCTCGACCATCACCGCTTGCTGTCGTCCCGTTTCCTTTTCCTGACGACTCAAAGTCTGCTGTACAATCTTTGCTGATGTTCTTAGCTTCATCGTTGTTTACTTCGCTGCTTCCGTTTGACGAGAAGGAGATCTTTTGGACGACTTTTGGATCACGGCGGTTTCCTGAGGGGAAGGACGGTCCCTCGGATATCCCGTCAGCCCCTGCGCCAGGGAACATCGTGTTGAAAGCACCGCCGGAGCCTTTTCTGTGTACCAAGGACAGGTACGTCTGAACCTGAGGGTACAAACAGGGAGTTATTCAAGTTAGCTGAAATCCTGGCCGCAACTTTAGGCCATGTTGATTTGATTATATGGATGACATTCTCTGGAACCCCCAAAACTGATGCGAGCTGGGGAATAAAAAAGTTTGTCAAAAATGCCTTCATTATGTAATCTACCTGGTCAAGAAGGTTGAACAAATGACAGATGGTATGGTATGGCGAATTATAGACTCCTCGTTTTCATTTCATCACATTTTCTTCTTTCCCTTTGCATCCAGAATTGAATTTGGCTTCTTATGACATTTTTCCAACATTTCTGAAAGTAAATATCAGACTGGTTTCCTCGTCCAGAATATTCTTATTTTGCAGACCTGAAATTGCATCAGATGCCTTTAAGTAACGGTAAAGCATATGGACACAGCATAAATCTACTCTGTCCGCTGCATTAATATTAATAAGACAGAAATTCATTGATACTGATCAACCACAGTGATGTCACTGGCCATTGGTGAAAACGTAAATCAGAGCTTGAATTCCTCCCATGCCAAATGCAAATTTCTGACAAGACCGAAACACGGGGGGACCAGAAAAGGTCACGTACTTGTATGAACCGTGATCGAGTTTTTGCAAAGCACCAAGAAATCCGTGTTAGGGGGAGAGATTTTTCACTCACGGTAGATAATCGGGTTAAATACTCATAGAGAAAAATGTGGAATATGATGAAGCACCCAAACAAGTTGGTGCTCAATGTCAAGACCTGTACCTGTCTGTCGACTGTTTTCCGAATGCTCAACGGAAATTCCGAGTCGTCCTCCACGTCCACAGACCTTCGTAGAGTCTCGTACAACTTCGCGGCGTAGTCTCGCTCCTTCGTCAGCTTTTCCCTTTCTCCGAGGGCCTCCTCTCGATCTCTCAGGGCGTCTGAGGCGAGCTGCTCGGCTAGACTGGCGCGCTGCACGGCTTCCTGCAGGCGGGCCAGGGCCAGGTCCCGCTCCGCAGTCAACTCCTGGCGTTGCCGTTGGAAACCTGACGTGACAAATGTGCACAAACATAAAACAACCATTATTCTCGAATAACGACGTCATCGGGCTTACAAAAGATTTGTGACAATTAGATATATTTGTCCTTATTGTTACTTCACGTTAGAATGGACTCGCTCTATAAACATAAATAACTCAATCTGAACCGGGGTCACACGGTGTTTTAGAAACACTGACAGCCGGGCACAAATAAAAGAATGGTGGGTACACATCTGTAAGTGTTTGCAAACCTTTTAAACAAAATGCCAAGAGATATTTAAAGTCACCTAGGAAAATCCAAGCACCCTCTTGAAACATGTTCAGATTTAGATGACATTCTCATACCTTGCCAGGCTACTAAACTATAACTCTGATTCACTAAATGTCAGTCAAACAATGAATGCGAAGTAACTTTTACTAAAAGTGCATGTGATATACATATACATATATGACAAGTCACAACTATGTATGTTTGATTTGTGTGTTTTCTAATGTCAGAACACGTAATGGTTGAGGGACCAATAAATTGTCAGTCAAATAGATAATGACTTGCTTTAGTCACTGTTTTATATATTTGTACATCAATCATGTTTTGTTGTGACCTGCATTTATCCGAGTGTGGCAGAAATGTGCAATAAAGGTCGTCATTCGATTATTCCGATATATATAATATTGTATTTCTGCGACATCACAATATACCTAATATGTAAATACATTCAGTATCGATATACTCAGACTATAAAGTGCACCAATTACAAGAGCTAGTTGAATTTCATATTACATGTATTCAGATACCCAACGGTCAAGCCTGGTTCAAGGACATGTGTAATGAAGTTATACGTAGTTGGGAACAGACTAGTACCGATGTACACAAATCTAATTAAATCCGCCTCAGGCTAAACAAACATTGTTGGGGACATATTGTACGTCCTTGGTTGTATACGGCTCTCACATGTGGAGAGTAATATAGGTGTGGCGTATTTTGCACGTATAAAAACCCCATGTACAAACGATTAAGCCTGAAATGTGTGTACTACTAGGCTTAAACAGAGACTTTGCCACATCATGGTCTTACCTCAAATTTATGCCCCGCCACATTTCTGATAGTCGGGGTATTGTGTACATGTGCGTGCCTAGAATTTAGGGCTAGGGTTAGAGTTAGGGGTAGAGTTGGGGTCATTGTTTGGGCTAGCCTAGACTTAGGATTAGGGTTAGGTTTAGTCTCCAAACCCTTTCCAACCCTTTCCTCAAGATTATGACTCCTAAATAGTGTCGCTGGCACTTCTTTCTCTCCAAGCAGAGGTTTGGGATTTGGCTTCTTTTTTGGCGTGTTTTTTGTTTTGCTTTTATTGAGCTTTCATTTTTGGACTGGTATTTTTTTTCGTGCCAGCCCAGTACAAAAAGATACAAGTACAAAAAGAAAGCTAAAAAAAAAGCTTAAAAACTTGACAAAAATAAGCCAAATTCCAAACCTCTGCTTGGAGTGTAGGCATTTATCTGGCAGGGGTAGAAATTTGGCTACGCACTTGTACGTTATGGTAACACTACTCACACAAGTACGTGCTTTCCCAACCTGCTACGTACCTTTGAGAGCGCTGTAAGTGGGCCGCTTGTTGACCAGTTTGTCGTCCTTGACTTTGATAGCGTACGTCAGCTCCTGGTTCGCCTGTCTCAGCTCGTCCAGCTCCCGGGACTTGCTGTGAACCTGACCCTGCAACTGACTAAGTCTGACCTGAGCCTGACGTCAAGAAAAAAATAATAATAAGCGGGGTTGCGTGGCGTAACGGCTGAGTGCTTGGCACAGAACCAAGATGTCCCGGTTTCGAATCCTGTCATGCAACCGATGTTGTGCCCTTGGGAAATGCACTTTACGTGATTTTCCTCACTTCACACAGGTAAAAATGAGTATTGTCCTCTGCGTTGCTGGCGGCATAAAAATAAGTTGAAAACTTGAGTGTGACACTTCTGCACATGTCAAATGTTGGAATAAAGAAAAGAAGGAAAAAGAAACAACGATATGACTTGGTGGAGGGACTGACGAGCACTGGGAGACCCTTAAGGAACGCGGGTGGACTCAGGGTTCCCATGGCAAGAACCTCCAGACTGCAGAGGTCATTTCTGCATCAAGCCATCAGACTCTCTAATAATCAATAGCAGTACATACTGTAATTGTTATGAATCTGTATGTCCTGTTTGTACCCTCGTTGTATATGTAATGGTCAGCGCAATTCAGCAGTCCATATTGTTCTTTATGTACTGCTGCTAGGCTGACCACTGTTTGAATAAAGATAAAGAATAAAGAATATTGATTTCACCAGTACGTAGATTATAAGTTATGCCTACCTGATATAAAATTGCAACATTATGTAACCCAACACTAGTTACCATGGTGAGAAAACGTAGCAAAAACAATATGTTTCCCTTCGGTAAACATAATGAGAGTTCCCATACCTTAACAAGTTCTGGAGACGGCGTCGGCTGTTTCTTAGGTTTCTTCTTCTGCAGTCTGTCGGGTTGTTTGTCGCTGGGTGCCGGGGAGGGACAGACCGGGCTGTCTGGATAAGGTGACGGCGTCTCGAATTCAAACTCTTCAAACAGTTCTGTTATCTGCACCTCAGATTTTACTTCTTTATCAGAGCCCATGTTTACTAAGTCGGGTGAAATCTGTGAGGGCATGTTACATGTAGTATATTATATAGCTTGGGAAAAAGCCATTTGGAATAAGTGGTTCATATATCTGCATGCAAGAAAAATCATGACTCGCAAGCCATCTCTTAACATGTACGCTTTCTGATCAGATTTTTGAATGCTTTTACAAAGTACATGCATCTAGAATGAGTACATATTATATACAGTATCTATAAGACAAGTAAAATACATGTATTCAACACATTGATATTGTGTAGATACGTACTGTAGAATGTGATAACCAGTCTCCATTCAAGTACGGTTCTTTATGGTATCTCATCAGTACATGTGCGTGTTGGTGTCTACTCATCATTTTGTTATTAACGTCACACATCGCCCTTACATGTATATTAAGATCCATTTTCTGTACGTCAATTTGTTTATCGTTTCAATACACAATGTCTAACATAGCAACATACCAGCACCGCTAATTCTTAAAGACCCTAAAGTGTTGTAAATTTGACGACCTTAGATATTATACCCTTTTTTTTCACTGACACAGTGAATTGACGAGTCCTCTGGGTCTATAACATGTAACGGTATCCAAAGATATCGACTTGATTAAAGAAAATTAATCCCTACATAGAATTCATAATCTATAGATTTTCCTTAATTGTAAACTTACCCCCAAGGCCCCGACATCACTTTCTCCCTTTTGGTGATGGAAAGTCCGTTTAAACATCTCACCAGCTTAAAACAGACCCTACTTTTACAGTATAAACCTGAAGTCACGTAGTTCCCTACCGTGATATGCCACTGCGGCATTTATTTCAACAATTACAAAAGAGACCCTGTTGGCACCTATCATTACCCACACAAAACACGGAGTCATGATACAAAAAGAAATGGCTTTACATGTGTCGCGTATGGACAGAACAATAGAAGGTCATATGAGAACCTACATATCATGATGATACCTATTGTATTCAGTGATGTGAGATAAGACCATTACAATGTGGTAGGTCTCACGCCATATGCGATTTGGATCAACGCTTTCCTTACAATTGATTGATTGAATTATTAATTGGTTAGTTGGTTGTTTGGTCGGCTGGTTGTTGGTTTGTTGGTTGGTTAATCGGTTGGTTTGTTGATCCACTGCCTTGTATAGAACTGTGAACTGACCAACCGAACATTACGCATTACTAATAACTGTGACGGACCCTGTCCTTAGTGCTGAAATGGTTAGAAAACTATTACATCGGTCTGCCAATGGCGGAACATCATGAAACACAGAATCGTTTGCAGGAGCAGGGTGGACTTTTATTTGTTCAGGTGTGACGCCGAAGTTTAGCCTGGGTACCATCCTACTTGTATACCGGGGCTCCCACACTCGCTTCCCTAAGAAGCGAGTGTGGGAGCCCCGGCATACAAGTAGGATGGTACCCAGGCTAGCCAAAGTTCTGCCCCACAATATTTCTACTTGTCAGGGTAGTGAGTACGTTACATGGTAGGGCGACGCCCATCTTCGTTTCTGTACTGTAGCCCTAGGGCCACACAGTTGTGCAATCACTTCGTACAGCAGGGGGCTGGTCCACTGGTGGTGACGGTGTTTAACTCCCGTACTCTTTTCCAAGCGTAATAAACAGAGAATGCATGCCTCGGCCGGGGATCGAACCCACGGCCTACCGAATGCAATGCATACACTCCATCAACTTGGTCATTGCACCGGTCAATTCATTTTTGTTACAATGAATGAGTAATATTTAGATAATGGGAGTGGCAGGTTTAGTTCTATTTGTTATTGACCCGCCCATCCGAGGGGGAACCTAAGGACTCAATTTGCAACAGCCACAATTGAAGGTACAAGATGTACTTTGCCCCTAGGTATCATTAACTTAGATAACTTAGATAGTTAACCTCGACGTTAACTATCACAGACCAATGTCCTTGCATAGACATTGATGTTGAAAAGCGTGGAGGTTTATTTTGCTTCCACAGTGCCTGTTTCAGGCTAAGGATTCGTCCCTTGCTTCTTCGTTTATTGAATAGAGGCTCCTTTCAGTAATGGTTATTTGGTGATAGTAGACCGCGTAACAATGATCATTAGCCGCTGTTGCCAAGTGACATGAAAACAATCCGACCACACAGCCGCCAAGAGCAAATACAGCGTCCGCGAAGAAAAATAGTGCAAATAAGCATCATTTGGCGTTAAAATCACCACGTCTTTGTTATATTACCAAACAAATTATGTAGATAAACTGTTTTGTTATGTTCACTGCTTTGGTATTCCGATAAATCGTCGAAAAATCAGACAAATGTTAAAAATATGGTGAAGAATCGATTATGACGTCACAGAACGCTGTACCTTTGCGCGAGTTTGTATCGATCCGCACATTTCAAAATGGCCGCCGTCGGAGAAGTCTTGCGAATTAGCTTGTATTTTCTACAGAATTTAAGGCTTATTTTGAGTGCGACGTGAGTTATCTTATCTCATCGAGATGATGGTGAATCCGCCAATTCGGCAAACATATTTGTAGTAGGAGGATTTGCTGAAATTCTCCTCTATTCGTGTAAGTATTTCTAGAATTTGTGTACTAGCTGTGTTTTAGTTCTCGAAACTCATTATTTTACTTTACCAAAATAGATACGAAAATGATTAGTATAGGTGGACAATGCAGAGTACTATAGTATTGTGCAAATTCGTTACGTGTTTTAGTTACTGTGCATACCCAGCCGCGAGACCCGTTGGTTTAGGGAATATTTATAAAGGAATAATAATTGATATTAGTCAAGCATATGCTTGCGATTTTCTAACACTTAGCTCGAGGGAGTGCGGGGCGCACTGAAAATTATAGTTATACTCGTATTATATTCATGGACACGAGTAAAATGCTATATTGTAATACTATTTTATAAAAAAATATATGACAAAAAAAACAGAAAATCAATGGCAAATATTATGAAGGCGTAAATTAATTTTGCAGAAATGTATGAGCTCTATGAGACACTCGTGCAGGGGGGAGATCCTACTTTTTCCTAGGGTGGCAAATTGGCCAGGCAGTATCCATTGGCCAAAGAGTGTCCAATACGGCCACTCAACCACTCAAAAATAATTTAGATAAGAATGGTCATTTTGCAAAACAAGCGCATAATGTTTACGTACACATGGTCTAGCTTAAACTTAAAAGCAAATTGCCATGTGTATTCTTACTAAAACAAATTCATATACTGTACTAGGTATTAGTAACGTGAAATGACTCTACTCTACTTTATATAGTTCCATGTTGCCACTCCAATTACCTCTGTCCTGCCACTTGCTACATAATGTTATCCAATATTCACCACATGTTTTATATTTCTATTCCTAACAGTGATAAACAGCCAATATGTGCTGCAAGAAGAAGGACCTGTCAGATCCTGGGTCTAACGCAGCACTGGCTGTACAGAGTCCAAGAAAGAATGGTTGGAGCTGGCCTCTACACCCGTTCCAATTTATAGCTTGGATTTTCATCCTGTATTTTGGGACAGTTCACTTTGGCATTCTTGTGCCGGTGATGCCAACGGAATGGCAGATGGCTGGGTATATCGTATCCTTTCCTGTACATGTGATGATGATGTAGTATGTGCATCATGATGCACATGGTATATGTATGTGAGTTTCCATAGAAAAACGTTTGGATTGTACTCCCCGGAATTTTCCCCAAACTATAAGATGCATAGAATACTACACGGGGTATTGCGTATCACCCGAGGTACCAGCCTGACCGCGAGTCAGATCGCCCGACGGCAGAATAACTGAATCTCGAATGATTGGTAGCAAGTCCTAACGTTGTGCCCTTAGGAATGGCACTCACTTATATATTTGTCAATTTCAAAATGAGTACATGTACCTATGATCCTTAACCATGTACTTCTAAGACTGTGGGGATCTTCCTGGGACTCCATTGTGTACTACACATCTGGAGCCTATCAGTGAACCCGGCTGATGACAATGTAATACGGAAATGGAAAGGTCTCGAGCCGAAGCGGTACGACCGGACCATGCAGGCACACGTCATAGAGAACAACAGATGTTACATCTGTGACACCGATGTGTAAGTTAACATCAAACAGATCCAGTTTTAGCTCAAGTATAACAACAAGTATGTATGTTTGGTGTTGCCAGTATACTGTTATATATTCCTTACATTGTACTTGCTTATACATTTTGTAGTACTGCACCATAAAAAAAACAACGGTATATTGAAAATAACTCATTGCATATGTTGATGAAGGTTAGACATCCAGGCAATGATGAGAAGTAGTGGATAGAATTTTCAAACTCTATGGATAGACTATCGAGTAACTCTTGCTTGAGTTACATTTTGATTGTGCACTTCATTAAGTCAATGATGAAACGTGGATGGTACTTGAAACGTTTGACAGTTTTCGAAATCTGTCCAGTTGCTTGAGTAACAATTCCCTTATGTAATTCGTTGCATTTTCTGGCAGTGCATAAAAACTAATTATTTTTTTACCTTTTTCATTTTAATCAAGTATTGATTGATGATATGAATTGATTGGTCCACGTCTTTTCGGAAGCTAAATATTATTTATTATATCACAGGTGTGCTTCGGCCAAACATTGCAGACTTTGCAATAAGTGCGTGTCGGGTTTCGATCACCACTGTAGGTGGCTTAACAGCTGCATCGGGGACAAGAATTACAAGTAAGTGCATCACATGTATGTCCTTTAGTTTATCCACTATGCCTAATGCAGTTTACAGCTAACATGGAGCGCAAATGCTGAAAATTGTGACGGAAAATAATTACTGGTAATGATCCTTGGGTGACTTTTGGGGTACCACCCAGAAAAAGAAAGCACCCATCTTGGGACTTGTTTCTCTATACTGTTTTGAATGCCTAATAAGTATGAAATACTGATGATGCAAATGTGCTAATGTGGCAGTATGTGTCAATATCATACAGATTGCCTTATTCAGAATACTTTCAGTTTTGCCACCCTGAAATTGCATTGGATGCCTTTAAGTCTGTATGTATGTACCCAAGACTTCTTTAAAACAGTAAACAAATTGTATGCTGGTCAACAACTATATAGCTATGCAACAACTATACATAGCTGCTACAAAGTTTTTCATGTTTTGTTCACAGATTGTTCATCTCATGCTTGGTGACTGCACTGGTTGGAGCCATATTGATAATTGCAGTGACATTATACGTAACTGTCATGTTTTGGGTGGATCCATCGGTACTACATTACGCTCAGCAAGGTAGGCTGTTCCTGTCATACAATCTGGTACTATGTATTATGAGACAGACATGCAAATACACCAATACATAATGCAGACAACTAACTTGCTAAGGACATACTAGTCTACAGGTAAAAAAATGGGTTTCAGTACCAAGGACAGTGTTGTCAGTACCAAGGATAGTGTATTTAGTACAAAGAACAGTGCAGTCAGGATATTTCTGTCAGTACCAAGGCAGTCATGGCTAAGTACAGAGTAGTAAGTACCATGCGCCGTGCAGTCAGTACCACGGACAGCACAATCAGTACCAAGGATAATGATTTAAGACATAGTATAGCACTGTCAGCACCAAGTACAGTAGTCAGTACCAAGGATAGTGCAGTCAGTACCAAGGACAGTAGTCAGCACCAAGGACTGTAGTCCGTACCAAGGACAGTAGTCAGCACCAAGGACTGTAGTCCGTACCAAGGACAGTGCAGTCAGCACCAAGGACAGTCTAGTCAGTATCAAGGATAGTGCAGTCAGCACCAAGGACAGTAGTCAGTGTCATGGACAGTAGTCAGTGCCAAGAACAGTGCAGTCAGTACAGTTAGGACCACAAAGATAGTACAGTCAGCACCAAGGACAGGGCAGTCAGCACTACAAACTTACAAATGTTCTTGGTAACAATTTGTTTCAGGGATTCTTGTGACAGATGTTGTCCCCTCGGTGGCCTCAGACCTCCCCAGTGTTGCACCCAACATATCAAGCAATGGTACAACTCCTCTTCCAACCACCAGCAGCAATGACGTGACATGTAAGCTATCCATCGGCTCTTGTTGAATTGGTGGTGTTTCTCTTTCTCTCTCATTGTTTCTGTAGCAGCTTAGTATCTGTATCTGTGTATATAGCTGGTATAACTGCCCTTTGATGTAACACACCGGCTTTGCAGGCACACGGCATTGGACTCGGAACCAATAGGTCCCTGGTTGGATACTCACCATGCCCCGACGTTGTGCCCTCGAAAAGTCACTTTACACTACCTTCCCTTCCCTGATGGTGGAGTGACGCCCACCAAGCCTGTTAGTCTTAGGATAATCTTTCTACATGTGTGCCAAAAACACACTTTGGATTGGGTGTGCCAATGTGCCAACATCTGCACATTTGCCACTGAGAGCTGTAATTTTTTTTAACACATGAACTTTCATGATAATATTAATATCTGTTTATATAACCATCTTATCTATCATATTTTATGTTTCTGCAGATAAGTATTACCTGTTTGCGGAGGTGCCTGGCGCAGCCTTCATCAGCGTAGTAATCACAACAATGGTTCTCTGTCTCGTCGCTATTTTGCTACTCGGCCATCTCCTATGCTTCCATATCTACCTAAGTGAGTAACACATATGCTATTCCAGTTTGTGTATAGGGTACACCAATTTAATCAACTGGTTCTCGGAGTTGCCCTCTCCATTTTTCTCTGATTCGAAAAAAAAAAAAAAAAAAGATTCAGGTTCTGAATCACACAAAGTATTGCCATGTACTGGACAAAGAAACAAAAATAAGTCTTGAATAGAATTCCCTTCTTCATATGTTGATAGATAAAAAGAAGTTGCCTTCAAAATGTTCTGATTCTGTATTCAAGTTTTCTGGTCAGTGGACATAATGTTGCTTTTTACATTTGGGAGTGTTGACAGCCTACTAACTGTGAATTTTTATTCCAGAGATTCTTAAGATCATACATACCATCTTGTTTGGTCAGTTTACTTATACATGGTTAACAAAATGTGTTACAGTTCAATTTCAATGCTCATCATATTCAATATACTCTGTACTATGGGGCTACAAATTCATAATGTTGCTTTTCACATTTCAGAGTGTTGACAACATACTAACTGTGAAGTTTGCTATGATATCATACATGTCCTCTTGTTGCAAGTTTTAGTATATTGTCTGAATAACTTAAACTTAATCTTGCCCCTTAGCGTGTAAGAATATCACGACACACGATACGATATTAGAGAAGCGGAGACAACTTGAAGAGAGAGAGGAGGAAATAAGAGTTCTAAGAGAACTAGGATACTATGAAGAAAAGAACTGTGTCAAGAGAGTGAAGCAGTTCTTCGCAGGCTGTTTAGGAGGATGTGTGGGGATTTTCATAGCTGCCTTTGTCACTGGGCCCAAGAGGTGCTTCAAGCATGGTCAGTTAGCTTGTCTGAGGAGTCAGTGTTTAGAGTTGAAGTTGTCATGCACTTGCATGATTGTTCCAAGATTGTTTTGAAATATATATTAGCCAGTTCATGCCATATGTTCTCCATCATTCTACAGCAGCTGATTTGTGAAAGCTACAAAGTTTTTAAAAAAGAAGTTGAAATGTAGTGTTCATTTAGTTGAACCTATTTCTTTGTAAGATCTTTCTTTGCTCAAGATTCTTAGGTACAATGTATTAGTAGTCTCTAGCTGTTAATTTTCCTTCACATTTTTAATGCCCAAACTTATACTAAACTCATATTGTAGGTTAGGTACAATAGTATATAGTTACACTCAATCTGTCTACATCTATAGTCGTAACTATAGCAACTTAGCAAGTTTGACCAGTATATAGTCAGGTGACTGCTAGTGCAAATTTGACTGTAGATTTTCTTAATTTTAGAGTATGGAGTCTGTTTATTGTTTCCTTAATTGAAGGCACAAATATTCACACAACTTTTGGCAATCTGAAGGCTAGTCCTATAAAATGGCAGACAATAAACATAGCAGGATTAGATGTACAATTTCTGAAAATTTCTTGAAATCTTAGCGTGTGGTGGCATCTGTGTGGTGAGGTTGCCGAGGTTGTTTTGCTGTGGCCGCAAACGTGGTAAGGTAGACAGCTATGCAGACATGGAGAGAGGAGTGGACTCTAGCTCAGACAATTGCAGCAGAGAGGCAGGCAGTAAACCCCCACGGAAGGTCCCATTCTGTGGTTAGTCAGTCAGTCAGATTAGTGTTTCAGAATAAGTTTAGTTAGCTGTAGCCAGCATAATGGTAGGAGGAAGATGTTTAAAAGTATCTTTAATTTTGAAAAGCATTTAGACAAAACATGTAGAAAAATTAATCTTTAGGCCCAGCTGCCAACAAGGGACATAAAATTGTACTGATTTGTTGGACCACTTTGGCTGCAATGTAAAGAAAATTGTAATAGGAAACAAACCAAATTTTCCTAGGCCTTCTTCGAAAATGAGAAAGTTTCAATATGTCCAGGTCACATCATTCATATTGCACAGTGACTGTTGTTTCTCAAGTACATTAAAAATCATCAAAAGTATTCCATCAACTTTAAAGATGTCAAATTGTACCTAAAAATAACATTTCTGTAATATCGTCCCTTAAAAAAATCAGATGGTTTCCTAGACAGTTACAATAACTTCAGTTACTCTTTATCCACCCCTTTATACAGTCATGTATTTCTCCATGTACAGTGATCACGTGCTGCCAGGTTAATGTGGTGCACCCTGAGCCAAATGGCCAGGCAGAGGCCAGTTCAGTTTCTTCAGCAATGGCAAGCACAGGCAGTCCCAGAGAAGGTTAGATAGGTGCACAGTGTAGCAGCAAGGGAATGTTGTTGTTGTCCTTTTTTCTTCAGGTCAAAGTGATAGCTTTAATGTGAAGGGAGTGTTTTACATATAGTATTTAAAAGTATTCTTGACTTCAAATGTTGGCTTACATCTATTGTTCATTATTGAGAAAGGAAAAGGTTCACATTTTAAAGCACTATGATAGATATTGAACTCCTATATATAGCTAGAACAGCAGATTATTTGAATGTGCTTCCAATAGTCATCAGTTCTCTAATTTCATCAGTTCAATTCATTTAGGCATAGGCTATGTTACATGTAGGTTTTGATTAGTACTGCGCTCCAAGTCAAAGTTTGTAGAACAACACTCTGTGTCTCTGTTTTGTACTCTTGTGTAGGAAGCCTAGCCGACGTTTCTAGTATAGGGAGCTCAGTATCAGGCAGCACAGATTCCCAGTCAGGAGTCCGGCAGGGTTCTAGTCCCGCAGAGAGAGACAGGGGTTTAAATTCCCAGCCTGCAAGGGAGAGCCCCAGCTCTGCAACCGAAGTGTCAGAGACGCGCAGTGCTACATCCCAGCCAGGATCTAGGGAAAGTCAAACCCAGTCAAATACAGATAGCGGTAATTCTCAGGCTTGGGAAGGGCCCAGCTATCTTGTCCGATCAGGAAAGCCGTATGCGAGGCCCAACGTTCAGAAGGGTTGGTGGAGCAGCTTCACAGGCCTGTGTGTGAGGGGTAAGGACAGACAGACACAGTTGAGGCTGGTTAAAACTGTTCCTTCCAGTGTTATCTGAGGCTGTGATTATGTGTTTTGTTTTGGCTAGTTTATACTAATTATACATTGTACTAACTTTGTTGAAGTTAACTTTTCTTGAGAAGGTAAATTTAAAGGAGAGCAGTACTCACACAGTTCAAATTCAGGTTGCCACTTTGACTTTTCCGGTGTGGCCTTATGTACCATTTTATTAACGTCACAGTTCTCTGTTTCAGACATGCTGCATGTATTATCAGATTCTGATATGTATAGTCTTATCTGTACCTGATAGTATACAAGTTTCTGTACTGACCATAGCTGTGTGTTTTATATATTTCCAGTGTGCAATAACCTCACAACGTATGATTACATCATGCGTGGCAGGGAAAAGGCAAAGAAGTCTTCCCCAGAGTCTAGCCAGCAGAACCTTAAGGTAAACCTCAAATGTGAAAAGTTTGAATCACATTCAACATTATTTACCTTGTGAAAAGTTCATAATTGAGCAATAAATGTATGGTTTCAATATTTTTACACAGTGAATATTTGATATGTATATTCCAAAGTGTGATGTAATTCACTTCATACAAAAGTCAGGAGACAATTTTATAGAATGTCTTGAAAGAAAGCATGATGGTGACACTGGCTATCATCAAAAAACGATTTCCACACACACGCTTGAAAATGGCAATGCTTATGTTTGTGACCAATCCCTGCAGGGTAACAAGGTTGCGCCAGTAGCGATGATCTCTCGTGACCAGGGTCTGCATGAGAGCATGGAAAACGGGTACGTTCCTGAGAACGGCTACCATCATGGTAGTTACGACCCTAACAGTTCAGATGAGGACACCAGGTGAGACAACTACTTCATGCACTTTGCTTTGGATCTCCATAAAAAAAAAACTCTACTGTGTAATCTGCTACATTGTATAATAAATTTTGGCAAATCCAAGGGGCAACAGAGTTGTGTTGTGTCCTAAGAAGTACATGTACTCAGTGACACTGCAATTTATTAAAAATTGAAAAATTGGAGGGGATAAGGAAAGGAAAGGATGTCTTTGTGGTGTTTTAGTTTTGTTGAAGCAAATATGTTAGTATTACCATAACAAGATGAGGACAGCCCTATGTTCTGAAAACGCGACCTGTGTTGTGAGAACATGGGGGTGTCAGAATGTACATTGTATGGTTCAAAACATAAATGGTGTGAACACAAGACAGCAAATGTCTACATGGTGATACCACAAAATCCACAAGTCACAAGTATAAACTATGTGACCGTGACTATTTCACAATATTTACTGTAAGCTGTTTTACGTTTCCCACAGACAGATGCAGCGTCAGTACGAGGAGGTACTGATGGAAGACGAGGCTCTGTCCCCGCGCCTGACCGCCCGGAGCAGCGGCAGGCATCGCCCCACCAGCGCCGACAGGGAGCGCCAGGACAGCGACCTCCAACAGCCAATCATGATGAAGGTAGATTCATGTACTATGCACTTCATGTCATCTGCGAGTATCCTGAGCTGGTTTCTATACAACTTAACTTCACTCTCAATGGTTGCAATTTAAGATTTATTAGAAAGTTTCTTGACTTGACATTATAGAAGTACTCAATGCCTTTGAGGCACGGATGTAGTGCTCTAGCCAGTGTCCGTCTTTCCATCAGACATGTTTATTGTTTGCAAAACTAAAACAAAAGTAGCAACTTGTGCCTTGGTGCCAAAGAACAAAATTGAGACAATGTAAAAACTTCAGGCTGGCTAGAACACTGCATGGATGTTTACGATAGATGAGAATCATCATCACCTACAAGACTGCTACAACCTTGTTGATTTGTTGACTAGATGCCGCGGCAGCTACCCCCGATTAGGCCAGTAGCAAACTTAGTACAGGAGACTACACAGGTAGCCGCTGCAAAGAAGAAGAAGGTTAGCCAGGGACAAGATGCATGTTGTGTCATGTCACGTGTACATGTACAGTTGAGTTAGGCAACAGTTAAACTTGCACTCTTTTGCGGGAAAAAGTGATTTTGTTGAATTATGAGTTGTTACTGAGTCAGGTGCAGCAAGGTCTCACCGTTGTAACCTTGAGTTGTCATTTGAATGCTCAGCCAATGGGCCTCCCTCATTTCTGAATTGAGCACTTTGATTGGCTGAGAACTTTGATTGGTGTGAGGTACAAAGCTATTAATTCTGTAAGGCTAAGCCAGTAAGCTTGCCCTGATTCCCAAGTATGCATTTTGCTTGCAATGCTTACTATTATTTTCCAGATTCACCCTTTTATGACAATATTTTGTTCCACTTCAATGCAACAAATATGTAACCAAGGCATGCCCTTTTGGTGTGTTGTGTGGTGGCAAAAGTGTTTTGCACTTCATTTGTTTGCACAGACATAAGCATTCAATGTTTTCTTGGTATTGTTCCTTGTGCAAAAATTCAATCTGCTTTTTCACTGACTGTTAATTGTTTTTTTGTCTTCTGTTAGAAGCCCAAGAGGAACAATGCATCCAAGGAAAGGAAGATGGAAGTAGCTGCAATTGGTGAGTTCACATTGACTTTTTCTAACATGAATCTGCATTGTAATTGAATGTTTAGTAATGACAACTGATAGTGTCAAAGTTATAAGGGTGCAGTATTGTGTCTGTTGTTCTAGCCAGTGTCCGTCTTTCAGTTATTTGACAGAATTTTGCCGCTCATGACAGATAAAAATGTTTGGCCAATCCACCATCTTTTACGGATAGAAATCAGTTTCTAGAGATATGGAAAGAGATGTCATTAAACTAAGCTTAGTCTACAAGCAAAATTTACTCCTGAAAATGCAGTTAATAGCATTTCAGAGGATCAAGATTTCAAATTTTTCTGGGGTTCAACATGATATTACATCAATTAAATTTGATCGAGATGACGGGAAAAACATCAGTGTGTCTATTGTAAGATTCATAAAGTGTGTGTATTGCTAATGTATACTTTTATGTACCTGATATATTGGTTGAATATATGGCTTGATTGATTGATGAATTGATTGGCGCATATTTTTTCCAGCTGCCAATGGCACGTACACGCCACGCGGATACAACATCAACCCGACACTGCCCCCAATCACGCCGCCCGCCCCGGCGCCCAGGAACGACGTGATCACACCGGCGCGCTCCCCGTCTCCGTACCACTCCTCCTCCGCTGAGTCGCTACAGGAGATCCCACTGGCCACCATTAGGGGCACCGGGGAACAGGTACAACATGTTCACTAAACTTCCAGTACAACAGCTTGGTAAACTGATATGTTCATGGTGAAGGTCTTTTGGCGCAGGTAGAAATTTCTTACCAAAGTTTTGGCAACTATGTATATCACAGTTTTTTCATGTTACTTTTATATTTGCACCTGCCACCACGGCGAACGTATAGTTGTGCGAACATGTCCATTTTTCTTAGACTACGAACTTTTGCTACCGCAAACATATTTCAGCTGCCTTCACTACACGGCTGAACACCATATTGAACATTGTCGTAGCCCAGGTATGACATAAAGAACTGGTACATCATTTAAAACTGTATAAAACTTGTTTTATCATCAGGTACAGGTTATCCAAGCCGGAGCCAGCCCTAACACCAGCCCACACCTCCCCTCCCAGGACCCGGAGAGAAGGGCCCACTCCAAGCGGCGGAAGGCTAAGCCCAAGGAGAGGCGTCCCCGTCCTCTCGACGTGCCGCCATTGGAGCTGACTCAGACCGTCACGGATGGCGAGTACAGCTTACGCAGCGACGTGGCCACCGGGCATAGTGGCAGGCCACTGCCCCCGCTGCACATGGCAACAAGTAACGTGTAAATGCTAAGATTCTCACGGCAATAACATACTAGGCCACACTAATTTGATATGTTGGCTTTTGGATTTTTCAGGAAAAATATGAAGCAACAGGGTATGTGGAAAATGTGAGAAAAAAACAGTCTTAAGCATCCTCTGATTGCTCCAAATGCTACCGTAATGGTAGGAGCCATGGCGTCAACATACCAGGCTAGTTTCTTTTTTAAACAAGGAATTTTGAACGTTTTTTTTTTTATCTAAGCAATGCTTTGATACATGCAGATGGAAAAAGATGGAAAAACTATAACCAAAAGGAGCTCTCTTCAACTGTTTGAGCCAAAATATGGAGTCGATTTAGAACTTTTTTGTTTTTGAAAATCAGAAAAAAAGAAAGTTTATGAATCCAAGAACCAATTACTTACATTGGTGTGGCCTTAATTGCTAAATGTAATGTTTCCCCCAGTGCCATTGTCAGATTACATGTATTTTCTATTGACATTATGTTCTCAAGGTACAGGTACATGTATGCTCTTCAGAGATTTTCTATATATGTGAACTACATATCTGCTACTTTGTGCATAAAATGTGCAAGGTTCGAGATTCCATTTTCTACTTTCCTTACTATGCATACATGTACTTTGTTTTGAACAAGTGTGCTTCTCAAAAACATTTCCCCCATTGTCTGTATGCAGTTTAATGCAATGATGTTTCTATTATTTTTTTTAACATAATCAGTCAGAGATTTTGTGGGACCAAAAATGACCAGTTGTGCAGGATTGACGTGAATTAATGTAGAACATTTCATAGTGTTAACCCTCGTGCCAAAGATATGTCACAAATTATTATTTTATAATCCCTAACTGTTCTCAAAAGAATGAGGTACCAGGAAATTGTGCATAGAACATACATAATATGAACCCTCCATATTCATGCAGCTATGTGATTTTTTTAAATCTTGATGTTATTTCAAAGCTATGAAAAAGGTACTACAAGTGTTAAAGCAGTCATTGAGGCACTTGGACCATTGAAATGTTTGTTAAATGACTAGAATTCCATGTTGATTTTTTGCTTTTCTTGTTTATTTTTGTACACAAAAAAAAGAAAAAAAAGTATTGTATCAAAACAGTGATGTGCCAAAACTAAAAGGGAGCATTTGGTCATGTACAAAATATACATGTAAACTAAACAAAAGAGAGAAATAAGAACTGATTGTAACTGACTGCAGGTTTTGTGCCTTAAGATACTAGACTAAGTACTCAAAGGAGTTGATATGACCAAACTTGATGAAAATGGCAAAGGCAAAGATACACTGTAATATGTACAGTCACATTCTGATAATCTAAGTGTTTAAATCATACTTGTTTTTGAAAAATCTTTTTGCAGTGTACATACAGTGTATTACATTTATGTATAAGAAACTTTGTGCCATGTTTTCAAGTAATCTAAACATGTGGAAAATGATTGTGTACGTCAGAACAGTATTAGAGAATATTTGTATTTGTATGACATGTGGACATGTATGAAAAGAAAGTATTTTATGCAATAAATGTGTACAGATATTGAACTTAAAGTGCCCTGTCTGGAATCAATCAAGTAGAAACAAACTCAGTTCTGTATCAATATTATTCTCTTAAGCTTGAGGAATAGGTCAGAAGGCCAGGTTTGATTTGTTGATTCTCGAATTTTTCAGAAAAAAAAGATGAAGCAACAGGGCAAAAATAAAAACAGGCCAATGCATCCTATTATGGCCCAAATGCTATTATGGGAGCAATGAAGTTCACATACCAGGCTGGTTTATAATACAATGAATTTTGAACTTTTAATCAAAGCAGTGTGGCAATGTGGCAACTAGGACAACAAGGATTTTATTAAACTGGGCCAACATAGCTTTTAAAGTTGATTCAGAACATATTTTTTTTTTTGCAAATCAGCAAAACTTGAAGTGGGCAAATCCCAGAACCAATTGTTTAAATTGGTGTTTCCTAAGAAAAAAAATGTGACTGTGGGAATGGACTGTTCAAAGTATCAAAGACATACTTGTAGGGAGCATTTGTATAGTTTGTAAAATTATTTATTGGAATGGAAACACAATATGTACATTATAGAATGGAATCTCAGTCATCTACATATCCAGCTGTACATTTGTTTGATATTAATTGTCCTCAAATACAGCTTCGTTTTTATTTTGAATAAAGCAAAATCTGCATTAAGCTTTTATTTTCGACTGTACAGTGAACTCATTTTGTTGAATTGAGTTTCACTTTTTCTTTATTTCCACCAATTCACACTGACATACCTTTATAAACTGGTTACACATGAACTTCTACATGCAGCATGAAATGTCTGTTACAGCATAAAAATGAGGGTCTATTAAAATACAACCTTTGTTACTAGTGTAAGAAGCTGTTGTGTATATTGAAAGAAAAATATGAACTAAAGCGCCAAAATGGATTAGATCAAATCTTCGTGCATGATATGCATAATAAAAGCAAGGAGTGTAAAAGGCACACAGTGCATCACGGGTATAATTCAAGATGGCGTCTTGCGGGACAGGTAAGTTTTTACAACATTCCGTTTAGCTAGAAAACATTTGGATTTAGCAGTAAAAGCCTAAGTTACAGAATACGTTTGTTTAGCTAGAACTTCCACTGTTCATTAGCACTTAGTTTGCTGATAATGTGGTTGAGTAGAACTGAATTTTAAACTCCTTTATTATTTACCATGCTGAACAGCTAGTTTTATTATATCATATCTTACACCATTAAAGTATATGAGCGGTATCTTACATTGTATACCATTGGAAAAGACGAGTATAAGGACAAGACAACTTCAACTTTATATTCTCTATATTACAAGACATGTAAATATGTGAATGACAAGCAGAATCAGCCTTGACCTTTCTTTCATCCAAAGAAGGCACATTTTTACTAAAACTTTTAAGTTGGTGACAACAGGGCTTTGCATCAAAATCGTATCAAAGATAAGCAAATCTATACAAACCAAAAACTTCTACCTCTTACATATTATACAACCGCGCCTTGAGTATAATATATTATGTATCTCATACATGTAGTTATACTACTTTATTTTAATTTTAATACTACTTCATAACAATAAGTACCGTAAAACAATTCATATTCCTAGTGCAGCTAGGCAAACCTTCCATCAACAAATATTAAGATATCTGTTCTATTATCTATATTACAACTTAATAGCAAGGAGAAGTTGAATGTATCCAATGATAGCTTTATATTGTGTCTGTTAACGGCATCTCTTCATCATGTTTTGTTGTGACATGTACTTAACCCGGTGGGCTAAAAATGTGCAAGAAAGGTAACGTTAGTTGTTATTAATGTCATATGTCATATAATATGTCATTATATGACACGATCGATATCGATGACGTAATATGCGAAGTAGCCAATCATGAAGATCGCAAAGCACACTGGGAACCAGACGCGGGCGGCGTAGTCGTGACGTAATGCCTTCTCCTTGGGCGTCAGAGTCTTACAGCAGCCACGCCCTTCTGTCTCAGAAATGTCCAAGACCTGTTGAATGAGAATTGAAGATGAAGATTAAAAATCTGGATCTGTATAGCCGGTATAGAGGCAGTAAATGTCAATATACTGATCAAGAATATTTTTGTTTTGCCCCCCTGAATTGCATTGAATGAAAGAATTATCTCTAATACCTTTGATGTTGTCGATGAAAAATAAACTACACCCAAATTACATCTAACGTCAAAGGACTGTTAGAAAAATTTGAGAAAAGTAGCATATATATTTACCTTTGTGACCTTGGAAGTCTGCCTGATGTAGTAGTGGACCACGCCGTACTCGATCAGAGACACGAAGACGAACCACTGACAGGCGAACAGCCACACGTCAATGGCACGGATGTACGACACCTCCGGAAACCACTCAACTTTCGTGGTCTGCAAAATGAAAAAAAAAACTTCAGATAGGAAAGAATGGTGCAAGTAGTATATGACGCGCTGAATATATCTTTCTAAACGGCAGGAGGATCATGAACCTCGTCCGATGGCCGCTGCTCGTTGTTGAAGAATACGGTGGAGAGGAGTATGAGTCACATTGAATGAGTCACTTTCATATGGATGTGGAACTTTGAGTCATACCTGTGTGAGCATGGTGAGTACCGTCACCACGTTCAGGGACACCCTGGCGGTAACAACCTCAGGGTTGACCCAGAAGGATGTCCAGCTCATGATCACAGTGGTCAGGGTCGGTCCGTAGGTCTGGATCAGGTGGAAGTTGAACCGCCTGGCGAGGGCGAAGCGGACCTGCCCCGATGTCAAACTTCCGAATCGCGCCGCTTGCTTCATAGCTTCAGCTGATCATTGTGCAAGGGAACATACAACAATCACAGCGTCGATTTCTTTTCAAAGTAGGCATTTTCGTCTTCGAGGTCGACTTGTACGAATCGCTATGCCTTACGTGACTTATGCGATCGACATTATCTGCATTTTCTCACAGTATACTATCTTGATTTGCTTTACATACGTTTTGATAGTATTAACTTTCTGATCATAATCCGACAGTTTGGTTTGGCATCCAGGCATAGGTGTTGAGAACCAATGCTGCAACGAATGCATTTGGTACACAGCATTTAAGATTTCTTTTAGAAATACAGGTATACAAATCCATTATTGGTACTGACATAAATGAAACAGTTACCATCGCAGGTGATTTCAGCCCCTCCAGATGTACAGTTTCCGTAGTAGTTGCACTTCTCGCACGTGGCAGTCCCCAGTTTGTCTGCACTGATGCAGTCGTGCGACAGGCACTCATCCTCCATGGACAAGAAGTCACAAGACAAAGCTGCGTAGAGACAGCTTCTACCTGGAAACACATATCCAACCAGTGAAGAGCTAAAAATAAGAAGAAGTTAGAATACCTTGCAATGTATGACATCCATTGGTGGTGTCCATATTCTGAACACTGAAGTTGCCATCATTATGAAGATGGACAGCTTTCTTCTTCACAACCCCTTGTTTTGTCCATCATGTTCATCACGGCAATTATGACTGGTTCACTGTCCAACTGTCCAGCTGGGTGTTACTGGTCACTGTGCACTGTGCACTGGAGCTAGATGTTGCTCAGTGAACCAGTGCATTCAGGTGAGGTGTTACACATTGAACCAGTCATAATTGCCCTAAAGACTGTAATTGAAAGTCAAACCTCCGAACTTGTTTTGTGATGAAGTGTTTGTGAATAAAGAATTTTGCTACTCAATCATTCACCAACCAGATGAAATTATTTACGAATTATGAAGATTTTATAAACCTTGTAACATTATACTGATATAACGTCAAAGAGAACATGAAAATAATGAACACATTGTTAGATGAAGACTGGTTAGATATGCTCACCACGTTCGATGTACGAGTGGACATAAGAAAAGGCGTGAGCTTTGACAAGCTGGAACTGCGCGTTGACGCCAGACGATCTCACAACAACCGGATGCTTGTTTTCATCGAACCACTCGGTCTTCGGTCCCCACAGAAAACGGGCGTCCCCTATAAAATGCAGTTAGAAGATAGATATGTCCATCAAACATAATTATTATCTTTTTACCGCTTTATCGTTATACTTTTGGTTGAAACAAAGCCCACGATTCTAACTAAAAACTAGTCATTATTATGTAATTGATAAACATACATATTTCAATGACCAGGGCACAGTTCTGAACGTCCAACGGATAGGCTCCTAACACCATGTGGCACTTAGACGTCAGCCGGTGTCTGCAAATTAGAATCGATATTATGTAAAACAAAACATACAAAAGACAGGATCAACCGTTGTTATCTTCCATGGAAATGAAGAAGTAAAATGATAATAATAATAATAATAATAATAATAATAATAATAATAATAATAATAATAATAATAATAATAATAATAATAATAATAATAATAATAATAATAATAATAATAATAATAATAATAATAATAATAATAATAATAATAATATGATAACAACAGTAATATTTATAATAATAATATGATAACAACAACAGTAATAATAATAATGATGATAGGTAGCAACACACTTTTGGAAGACGGTAACTGTCCCGTCCCACCGTCCGTAAAGGAACGGTTCTGCGGAAGTCACGTCTTCTGCCAGGCTAAATTCTAGATTCGGCTTCCAGATGGTTAGGTTCTGTCCCAGGTAGTCGCGCGGTACCCAGATCTGGTCGGGACGCTGTTCCGCGAGGCTTGAATTGGTGAGGCGCTCGTCCACCCAATCACAGTGTAGGTAGAACTCTATGTCATATTTCTTAAGGAGAAACAAGGTTTTAGATTCTTTTATGTTTTATTTATTTGCACTTGCTTAGTGAACGCAATTTACAAAACATATATTACAACAGAAACGTAAACGTGGTAGGGTACGCGAACAAGTAAATGAAACAATGGAATAAATTAAAAGAAGCCAGTTTGGCAATGAGGAAATATAGAAATGAAGCTATATAGTGACTCAGTGATCAAACAAACAGCTCAGTGGAAAGCAGTCCCAGCCTTTTATTACAGCTGTGTGGTCCATTAGACTTTGCAAGTAATGCCTAGGACCTTCACATGATAGTATCATTAAATATTCATAAATCTTCTATACTTATAGATAGCCACTTCATGATAAAGAACAGCCCCCCCACACACACACACAAAGGCAGCTTCGATAATTCTTTTCGTTTGCTTTTTTTTAATCTAAGCCATATGACCCTAATCATATATTGTTCTTGGCGTACTTGTACTTGACAACTTGTTGCTGTGTATGTCTGTTATTCCTGGATGTTGCAGTGTATTGTTTTCATCTGGTTCGAAAAGTGCCAAGGAGACTCTTGAATATCTTACCATCAGTCGCTCCGAAAATTGACCCAGGTCCAAAATGTAGATGCCACAGTTGACGGTTGGGTCGTCTTTAACATAAATACATATTTTGTATCATTATATCTTTGTACAATGTAAATGTACTCATGTATCCTATATAGTCCTCTGTGCTCTATTGAAATTTGCTTCGATGACCTTACGTTGACATCAACCACCACTATCATCCTTGGTACCAAGAAAGGGCATTAATAATACATTGGTAACATTGCTTCTATTATTTCATGTATTGAATTTTGTTTTCACATTTTAAACTTATGCTGTACATTACGTTGAAGTTCACATTTGATACAGCTGGATAAAACGTGGCACAATGCTATACAACTTAACACAATACATTGTAGACTTCGAAACCAGACATGTTTTCGTTGCTCATCCAACTGTAACGCTATTGGTCATTGTTCACTGAAGCCTAATGGACAAATAGTCAGAGTGCATATTGCAAAGAATGAGGATTTTGCGCTGGTATTTTGTGCCGTCAATGTCAATATAGCTGAAGCTTTATTTCGTTGGCTGAATCTCAATCGAAATGTCTGTCTGTTTGGAATAATACAGAGTAAAATAGGACAGCGTTACCTGGATCGACTTCAGCATTATAACCCAATGGTAAGGCACCATAGATTGTCATCTCCTCGTAGGTGCTGAAACATAGAGTTAATATTTATGTTTTAAAACTATATTAAGTTTTTAATGTCAGACGAAAAGCAAGACAGTCAAGTATCATGCGCCGGCGATGGTAGGAAAGGCGGGAAAAATAAGGGCTTGTAATGTATACATGTACATGTAAATACCTGTCAGATACGACACACATGATATATGTATCCATATCCTATTCCACATGTTGTTCCCGTCAACTCTTCTAATTGTTCCCTGCCATTCCATGTTTGAAGTGTACTGCATGGCTTGTAGCATTAAGTCTCGCATTGGAAGTATTATTGATTTGTAACACATTGAAATATCCCATTCGCCATAAATACCCCATTTGCAAAAATAAGTTCAAGTAAATGTTTTTTACATCAGCGCATTCCAAATTCTTTTCTCCTGGTTGGTCACGGCATTGTTACGGTCATTGAGTACATATATTGACTTGACGTTTTAAAGAATTAGCCATACCAGGCCTCCCTACGGGGATATATGGATCGTAGAATTCGAAAAAAAAAAAGATACAATTTAGCCAAATATGGAGAATGATTGGTCAGGAGAGTCAGTCCAAGGAAGGGTTGATTTCCACCACCGAAGGCTATACTCCTTTGGATAATTATTTTCCCTTTGGCTACATTTTACTGCTTACGTTGTTAATCTGGTGGAGACTATCCAAAAATTGGAAACACGACTCGCCGTGCAAATTATGAACTCCATGTTCAGACAGCTATAAAAATATGTTGAACTACCACACAATACGCCACAACCAATAAAATAAAATAAATGGATGGCATGTTTTACGGGTTCCTAGGCAGAGCGATGCGATGATGCAAGAACAAAAATAAGGCAAAATTTTTGCCATTAAAACGAAGATGTACCAACCATGCAACCAACCAAATAAACAAATTCCTGTCTTGAATCACAATTTCATGACATGATGTAAAACATGGCAACATGAAATTCAAAGACATTGTGCGTAAAATCCATTGACTTCGACCTGTATCCAACATATGGTCAAATAGCCTCTACCAGACTTCGCGAAAAGACTGGAAAGAGTGGAAAATGACCAGATAGACTGATGCTACGGACTACGACAACAGTATGGGGTGGCAAACTATTCGATTTTCGAAGCCTGGTATAGGCTAATATAAAACCACAAATTCAAAATAGATTGTGAGATGATAATTTATCCTCTGTAAATAAATCAGGTTTCCTGTTGTGTCCGTCTTCACTGACAGCAAGTTTCAAGACATACATGTAGTATGGGAAATGGCGACCGGGACAAGTCACAACATTTACATATACAGTCATGCTACCGATAAAATTTGATCATGATCGCAACCTATGCTACGAAACTAGTAAAAATAGCATAATCCTTCAAGATGTCAAATTTATACTGGATAAGTACGAACCTAAAGGACTTTTAAAGTATGTATGGTTAGGAAACGTCAGTGCCATACATGTATAACCTTCCTCATGAAATACGGCAACCTTCCTCATGTTAGTGCACTCTTCACACACTCACCTGTTGGGTGCAGGTGTCGTACCATTGAAGTCACCGCTCGCCACAGAGACGACAGTAAAGAACAAGAAAAATATCCAAGGGGTTCGGAGGGAAAAGCTGCAAAACATTGTGTGTCCGTACTTCAAGAAGAAAATAGTTAATTTGGCAAATGGATCCGAAGTATCCTTGAGCTAAGCCCCTATTCACAGGACTCGCATATTGCTTGTCTCATGAATAATTAATCAGCCTTCCCATAATTGTACCCCGTTTGGGGTGAACACAATGACTATGACTCGACTAAAATCATCAGTGCGATGACGTTGAAAAGCTACGTTGCCATAGCAACGGTTCGACCTAGAGGTTGCTCAACGCGTGATCACGTGAACAGATGGTCATGAGACTCCCGATCTCTCCCGATGGTACCATGACGGCACTAGATCGGTATTTCAACTTTGAAATCAATTTAAAATCCCTTTATTATTATTTCAGACGTATCAAAGAGGTTCATGCTGGATTTCTGGAAATCAATGCCTCTTTCAATGTTTGTTGAGTGAATTGCCGCCACTACATGTATCTCTCATTCAAGTCTTGGACAAAACATTGACTAAAAAAACATATTCAGTGCTAAACATGATGTTGTTGCTTTGAGAATAGTATTGAATACTACGGCAATCAATGCTACGTATGGTAGAATAACTACAAACGCTCCAAATACTGTTGAAAAGGTATATTTCTAAAGCTATTGAGTTTTAAAATGTGCTCAAAGCGAAACCAAACATGTTACACTCTAGGACGGCATTGTATGGCATGCTTTACTGCATGATTTGGATTATTTCAATCTCTTTAAATACATTCATGTCAGCCTTGTACAGATTATTTAGTTTCTTTACTAAGCATCTGAAATCTTCACAAACATACATCGAAGGCACTAAGCGACTTCAGCTCTTTGTGACAGATGTCCACGTCAGCAACTAGGTTTAGAAGCTACAACACTCTCCATTGTAAACTAGTCTAAACTAGCCAACTACAGTTAACTCTGGATAATAGGAAGGTGGTGCACTCTTTTTATCATATAATATCTCTCTTGTCAACATTATTTACTTTGCTTCTTGTATGTGGCGTTGCCGGAATGAGTTGTATGCAGCTTATCATTTTTTAAAGCAAACATCATCAAAAAAGCACATTTTACAGACGTTAAGTTAAGGTTAATAGTAATTATCCATATTCATCCAAATTATATATAAAAACAGATCCATTAAAGTCATCTTCCTTTAAAACATTCCAATCTTCATATGGCCCCGGTAGAGTACTTGACCCAATCGATGACGTAATATGCGAAGTAGCCAATCATGAAGAGCGCGAAGCACACTGGGAACCAGACGCGGGCGGCGTAGTCGTGACGTAATGCCTTCTCCTTGGGTGTCAGAGTCTTACAGCAGCCACGCCCTTCTGTCTCAGAAACGTCAGATACCTGTTGAATAAGGATTGTGACGGTGTATGGGTGAATATTGACTAGATTAACTATCTCTATAGGTTGCCGCTAAATGAATAAAATGCCATCCCTGCAATGTCTGACAGGCCGAAAGAAATGGAAAATGGAAAAAAAACGAAAACTAATTCAACAGTTATATGATGGTATCAGACTAGAATAATATATATTAATGTTGCAAAAATAGTTGCGATTTTAATGAAATAGCACAAAGGAAATAACAACCCAATTCATTTGTCTGGACCACAAATCCCCTTGTTAACAGTACATCTGTACAGCGATGTGTTTTTAGAATGCAATTTTATCAAGATTTCCAAACACAGCTTCTAAAAGATTTAAGAAGTAGAAAATGCATATACATACATCATTAGCTTTGTACGTTGCCTTGGAAGCCTGCCTGATGTAGTAGTGGACCACGCCGTACTCGATCAGAGACACGAAGACGAACCACTGACAGGCGAACAGCCACACGTCAATGGCACGGATGTATGACACCTCCGGAAACGACTCGACTTTCCTGGTCTGCAAAAACGGGAGTAAAGAAAATGTCAAAAAAAAATAACAATGGAAGAAGTTGCTGCCGGGAAATGACAGCTGGCACAAATCACGCAATATCTTCTTGAAAAAAAACTATCACTGAACACCCAGAAAGGCATCCACAAGTCCATAAAAAGCGGGATGTTTTCTGAAATATTATGATCTAATGGTATGGAAACTCATATATACAGAAAACAACGGGCACCATCTATCTCGCGAATAGTAGCAGACGACATGCCAAACTGCATACGAATGCAGCAAAGGGACCGTGAGTTACAGTTGCAAATGTACGGACACAACCACCGGTCTATGGCCTCCTTCACGGAGTATTACTATCTTCTTCTAGATATAGAACTTTTGAGTCAAACCTGTGGAAACATAGTACGAGTACAGTCAGTCTAAAAACATGGTCCAGTGGACCCCAAAATGCGTGGACTCCAAATTTACGTTGATTTTCAAAACCAATGGTGGAATCTTCTAGATGCAGAAGTTGGAGTCATACCTGTGTGAGCATGGTGAGTACAGTCACCACGTTCAGGGACACCCTGGCGGGAACCACCTCAGGGTTGACCCAGAAGGACGTCCAGCTCATGATCACAGTGGTCAGGGTCGGTCCGTAGGTCTGGATCAGGTGGAAGTTGAACCGCCTGACGAGAGCGAAACGAACCTGCCCCGATGTGAAGGTGCTTGGGCTCCTAGCTTGTTTCACTGCTTCAGCTAAAAATACAATATCAGTAATTTGCTTCATGTAAAGAAGGACAGTGGAGAACTAGTGTGTAGTGTTGGATTACAATTGTCAAGCTACATGGTTGTACCAAATTGCATTAACTGGCACACAAATTCAAACTGTACTCTTTTTAAAATTTGAAATGGCCCAAAATGTCAGAAAATCTAGACAAACATGGAGATATACCCCAATTTGTTGAGAATGCCTGAATCTACATGTGTGCCATATTTGGTGCTTATCGACAAATTTAAACCATTTTGCAGTTCTGCTTCTTGATGAACGTTTACCAGCTGAAGCTCTTTTAGTTTATGTGTTATAATAATATTATTTTCCAATGACGTAAAACCTGAAAGGAAGAATGTACATGTGGCAATAATATTGATTTTTTGTCATCAAAATAAGTACATGTTTCACGAAAGCTTCCGCCCCTGAGGCTTCTCCAAATATTAAGCAGTTACCCACCATCACAGGTGATGTCAGCCCCTCCAGATGTACAGTTTCCGTAGTAGTTACACTTCTCACACGTGGCAGTTCCCAGTCTGTCTGCACTGATGCAGTCGTGCGACAGGCACTCCTCTTCCAGTGCCCCGAAGTCACAGGTTGATACTGCGTACACACAGTTTTTACCTGGGCAAACATATCCATGTGGTGATTGCAGTGAGCAAGGAAAACGTTGAATTACCAGTACGAGATGTTTGTATACATCCAAATGAAGATGCAAAATTTTGATGGCGAGTATGTTTATGAAGCCCCCACACATACTAGGTGAATATGGCCTAACACAGGCTGCCGAACGTTAACTCCCCCAAATATGGTTTATGTTTTTGGTTTATAGGTCGGTTGGTGGTAGGCTGTGCCAGCAGCCGAATGTTTCAAAATGTTTAATTAAAACATTGGACGGGAGGTTTCAATTCGTATCAAAAGGTAGAGTACATGTGTGGGTATGGCACAAATCTGGTGAGACTGCTCCCGAACGTCAGCCAGCCTTGGTTGGTTGGTGTTTGTGGAAAAAGAGGCCTTAAGCACAGTGATATTACAGCGTACTTCTCACGAGGAAAGAACACCTTGTAACACTCACCGCGTTCCGAGTGTGAGTTGACGTAGGAAAAGGCGTGGACCTTGACAAGCCGGAACTGCGCGTTGATGCCAGACGATCTCACAACAACCGGAGGTTTGTCCTCGTCCAAATACCACCCTGTCCTCGGACCCCAGACAAGATGGCCCCCTTCGACTGCAACCCAAGATTGAAAACTTAGTTTTAGCATGTTTTACGTAAATAGGTTTCATCAGGATTGCAAAAAAAATGTTCCTATCAATTATTAACAATAATTGGTTTATTGAACGGAAATAGTACATGCTAAAACTACATTGCAGACAACCAATAAAGTTTGCTGAATTGTGTGATCTTAGGCTATACAGATAAAAAATAGTAACAAATACAATTATAAAGCAGCATAGTCGTCATGTAAAATACCTCAATCATTCGGTCTGATTGCTGATTCAGTCCAAAATTCCAGTGAGGCAATTTTCTTGAGTTGGAGAACAGTTTAATTCTAATTATGGATTTCAAAGCTGTGTTGTCAGATATGGAATCGAACTATTTATGTACCTGTCCGATCTGGTAAATGGAATGCCAAGCTGGTTGTATCAATGTAAACCTCTATTGATATATTCAATGTGTATGCATCCATATATCATATTATCTAAGAAAGTCAAACTTAATTTCATTGCCATCGTAGACGTACGTACGTAGATCCATGCTTAGAGCGCAGTTTTGAACATCCAGTGGATATGCTTCCAACTGCATGCGACACTTGGACGTCAGCGTGTATCTGTAACATACGATTACATACACTTGAATTGGAAACCAAACAGAAACTGATGAAACTTTATAATTTGGAAGGGAGAAACAGAGCAGACACAGAAGAAGAAGCGGGGTATGTACGTATGTTTTCCCTCTGCGTGGGAAGTTAAACACAATAAGAAAAGTGGAGATAATCAACTATAGTGAACCTTACCCCCGCAAAACAATCAAGGGAAATAACAGAACTTTGCAAGCATTGTCACAACATACCTCACGAACATAGTAACCGTCCCGTCCCACCGCCCGTGCAGGTAGTCACCGCTGGTCTCTACATCCTTCGCCATGTTGAACTGTACGGTTGGAGTCCAGATGTTCACAGGTTTGCCCACGTCATCTTCCGGAAGCCATTCCTGGTGAGGCCGCTCTAGCATCAGGCTTGCCTTGGCCAGGCGGCGGTCCACCCAGTCACAATGTAGGTAGAACTCGATCTCGTATTTCTAAAGATGTTTGTGAGAAACAATAGACTTTTTGTTGCTACTTTCATTTTATTATGTTTACCAAAGTTTTCATGTTTCTTCTTCCGTTCCAAACACTGACCTGGTCAATGACCTGAACCAGACCGTCTGTCACCATGGTAACTGGTGTCGGGTTACATAATGTTGCAATTTTATGGCAGGAGGGATTTATACTCCTGTCATATATGTGAATGTGTTTGAGTAAGAATTGACAGAGCAGACCATTTATATGTGGAGGTAAACATTATACATTTGCTTTGAAAATGTTACCTTTCTAGTTTTATTTAAGTTACATTTTATTTACGTTCCCTTATATGTAATAGGTTAATGGGGTAATGCTTTAAAGGTATCAGTAAAGCGTGTCGTTGATTATGAGCAAGTTCCTTACCATCTCTCGCTCGGAAAAATGCCCCAGGTCCAAGATGTAGATGCCACAATTAACCGCATCATCAGCTGTAGAATGAGGATAAGGACATTTTGATATGTGTAGTCTCCATATACTCTGCTACATCCTATTTGTTGATAGCTTGTTTGATTCGGGATTACAATGCATAGTCACTAGCACACCGTATCTGTGGCATACTAGTATACAGTAATTCATTTCATGTTCATGGTAGCAAAAATCCACGGTTTGAGAAAAATGGAGGCATCCACGGAACTATATGATATGTTAACGGTGCCGGTAGGTGCAGGTAAAAGAAAGTCTGCGAATTATTTATGAATGGTAATGATAAATAGGCGGTACAGAAGTGACCGCAAAACACGAACATAAAAGTACCGTGAATCAAATCAGGAATTACGGTATACGATATGTTCCGTGTGTCAGCTTATGGCTTATCGTTCTTTTCCCCGTGTGCCAGTATCTAAGACAAACTAAGCCAGCCGCAATGGCGGACGGTGTACCTTTTCGCTGTACACTACATGGGGCTGATGTGCATCTTAAACGCATTCACTGAATACTGAATCCATAGTGATGCAGTATAAGGCGATGTGACACAATACAGCAGAGTTTATATCAAGGCCCATTCGTGTGACTTAACAGACTGTGACAGCAACAGGTGAACTTTGCTCATCAGACTGTATAGTATTACACAAAAGGTTATAGTCCCTCGGGGCCTTAGTCAAATTTTCAATGTGAGCATCTCAAACAATATAGCGTTGGTCTTTCAAATGTTGTTGCTTGTGATACAATAGCGCTGTGCAGGCTGAAATTGGACCTAGACACGTTTCTCTTTATAATGCAATAGAATGGGATGAAAATATGAATCGCTTACAATGACGTTTTCAACGTAATACTGTGTATCTCAAACAATAGAGTGTTATAGTTATAGTCTTTTTTACTGTTGCTTGTGATACAATAGCGATACACAGAAATATTGGACCGGCACACGTTTATCTTTATGATACAGAATAATGGGATGAAAATGAATCACCTGGAACGATGTCCGGATTGTAGCCTCCTGGTAAGGCACCGTAAGCTGTTATGGCGGGGTAGCTACTGTAATGTAGAGTAAAGGAAAATACCTTAGCATTCCGAATTCCGAACATGATATTAAAACTACGAGTCAGTGACCAAATTCTGCATATATATGCAGAAACGGGCAAACATAACCGGATTTGGTAAGGCATAATATAACTGAAATAGCAATTAAAACAAAATGCATCTTGTACTTGATAGGCTGCACGCTATTGAATGCGACATTTAGAACAATCCTCTTAGACCAAAACAGAGTGATTCTCATGACAACCACTAATGACCACACAATAGTGAAATAATGTGAATATCTTCAGTTGCTTTAAAGAGAGAGAAGAAATCATTACAACTTAGATGAGATAGAATGCAGTACCTAACATTTTTTTTAGTTGCAATTGTACACACATGTTTCTTCTAACTCTTTCCACAACTTATTTTAATTCACCTACCTGTTGGATTCAGTAGTTGTTCCGTTCAAGTTGCCGCTCGCCACATGTATGACACAGTGTAACAGCCCAAACACCAAGCATGATATACGAGACATTGTGTGTCCGTGCTAGGTGTGCGAAAGCTATATCACGTCCTTGGTATCGTTTCTATAAGATTACACAATACGTCTGATGCTTTTCTCATGAATGATTTAGTAATAAACCCATCCTGACTGTCAATGTAAATTATCTTCTCAACAAATAATAAAGCATCTCAACAAATAATGAAATGTCCGTCAGACGTTTGCATTTTGAACAATGTGGGTGGAGCTATATATAAAGGGCATGTTTTGTGACACAGCTGAACCGTCTGTGTCTACGCCTGTATCGCGCTAACAACATTTTATATAAAAACATTTGTACCACGTGCACCCTAGTCCCTAACCCAGTGATCACATGAACACGTCGTGGGCTGATCGTGATAGTCCCAGTAGTACACTATATATAGATTCGTAACGCAATCAAAAGTTTTACCACTATCCCTACTACATTATTATTTCATGCGGACCAAGAAAGGTCATTTTTTGTGTTTCTGAAAATCAATGGCCTTTCTTGTGATTAGCAGGTGAATGCCCGCTACTCTTTGTAAGTTGGCGCTTGGAAATAAGATTTCATAGCCGTATAAAGAAATGAACTTTTGATAATTATGAAACATATTGCTTTCTCTCATGTTTCTTCTTCAACTTTGGGGGTCAAATAACCTGATTACATTTGCAATCTCCAAGCAGATACATGGTGGCATGCGTAGGTAATCTTCGAGCAGATATGGCTTGGCCTTCAAGCAGATACAGGGTGGGATAGATCCTGTCATCAATCCACATGTTCCAACAGCAGAAGGCATTGGAAGATTCCATTGCTGCAGGGGGGTATAGACTGTTGGAACCTTTCACATTTTTAACAGGGGTGATTTAGGAACAATCCATTCGTGTGGGAGGTGGGACAAGTCCATTTTTGGTATGGGGAATGTGATGAAGCCATTTGCTCCAAAGCAAATGTCGGCTTTCTAGTATAGGAATTAAGAGTCATTGCATGAGAAAACCAGGCAAAATCAGTGGAAGGCCGGAAGATGGGGGTCGGCCAAATCCGCTCATATTTTGTATATAGGATAGGTATGGGGAACTATCACCAGCCATATGATTAAAACCCTCCAGCTCTTTTTTGTTATGGAGTTATGGACCCCCCCATGGAGACCCTCAATAATTGGGGAATTTTTGCCTGGAAATTCCCGATATTCGGAGCGCTCTCTCCGTAGTTCTACAAAAGATATTGACATATGCTTTTAAGAGTCATTGCATGAGAAAACCAGGCAGTGGCCGGAAGATGGGGGTCGGCCAAATCCGCTCATATTTTGTATATAGGATAGGTATGGGGAACTATCACCAGCCATATGATTAAAACCCTCCAGCTTTTCTTGTTATGGAGTTATGGACCCCCCCATGGAGACCCTCAATAATTGGGGAATTTTTGCCTGGAAATTCCCGATATTCGGAGCGCTCTCTCCGTAGTTCTACAAAAGATATTGACATATGCTTTTAATTTATAGATTTCCTCATCTTTCTAGTCTCAGGAGACCAAATGTAAAGATCTGGCATTGAACTTCAAAGGGTATGCATGGGGGTTATCAGAACCATAGAAAGCACAATTTGAATTTCTTTAAATATTGGGGATTTTCAAAGGGTCATTTGTCACACTATCTGCATTTGTTTGGATTGGTTTTGCTTTTTCTAAACAGAGGAACATCTATATATCAAGAAACAATTGTCGTTTATTTGGGATCTAAATATTGGAAGTCATGGGAAGGGGCTAATTATGGGGTATTTTCATTTCTGAAAAAACACTGAATCAAGCATTTTTGCTACCCTAATGCAAAAACCATTGACTACATCGGTGTCTTTCCGAATCAGAATTATGACGGGACATGACGACTGCTAAAAAGATTGTCAAAAAGTCATATGGGCTCTGTATGGGGGTTCTGGGTATACTTGAAATTGAATTTACTGACTAATACCACGTGAATGATGCATATTGCCCCACTTTACATTCGCGGATTATTACTAACTTAAAGTTTGAGCATAAGCAAAATAGATACCGATAATCTGGGGTCTGTATGGGGGTTAATAGGACACCGTGCACTATATTTTGTTCCTTTTAAGTGTATAATTACATTATATACACATTATGACGGACATAAATGCGGCAAGTGGAACACCAATAACAAGTTGCCAACGCCATCTTTAGCCATTGCAATAAATGTTCTCCATTATAAATGTCCTGCGTGTGCTATAATAGTGGAAACAGAATTACTTTGTAAAGGCAGCTAAAAAACATGGATTTTTACCGTAGCAACTTACATGAGTTACGTTCCATCTCCATAAAATGCATTTTCTCGACCATTATACACAGTTTTGCGCTGATCTCTTTTGAGCCCACAGTCATAGCTAGATATTTTCTTCAACAGATACATGTACTTGTACATAAATCATGCAGTCTTTTAGATTAAAATACATTTGTTTTGGGCTCTCTTATATAATGGCATTAAGTTGGTACCTTACTCTAATTATACATGTAACAGTTACTATATCACTTAGTATATCCTATTACTGGTATCATTGTTGTACACAATAAAAGGTTCTGCATTGGTGTTATCATTCAAGACGTCACAAATGTTATACCATTTGATACACAGGCCACATGCATGCAGAGCTTTACCATACATATTTACAATCGTCTAAAAACAGTCATGGTATCATACAATCTACAAAATACAAATGCAATACTGTGCCAAACACAAGAGAGATTTACATGTATCTAAAACCAAGAAGTTTTTAAAAACTGTTGAAACACATAATGCTTAAAAAACAGGTTTAGTTTTGTTGTACTGGTGATACCAAGTAAAAGCTTAGCACAACCACAGTAGAAGACCACATGGATGTTGGACAGCACCTTTAAAGAACTGGAGCGGGAGTCCACTTACGACAAAATACGCAAGAACTGGGCTCAAGCCGTGACTGGTATAGCTCATGGCCCTGACTTAGCCCCACAGTCACGTGCACCTGGGGAAGAATCAGGAGTTGACATCGTGGGATTCTCTCGGGTTGTTAGTGAAGGCTGGGCAATCCGGGCAGTCAAAGGTGGCCAACGGATGTCAGACAACGTGAAGGCATATCTCACTGACATTTTCAACAAGGGTGCTAGGACGGGCCAGAAAGCCGATGCTGTACAAGTGGCACAGGAAATGCAGCATGTCAGGGGATCTGACGGGAAGCTGTTGTTTCAGCCTAGCGAGTGGCGCACAGCAAAGCAGATCACAAGCTTTTACGCTAGACTGTCAGCAGCGCAGAGACAACAGGAGAGCACAGAATCTGTGACCACTGACATGGAGGCCATAGAAGAGGAGGGCAAGTGGCAGGCACTGCGAAAGACCGTGTACACTAGTATCGACTACAGCCACCCGGTTATGTTTGAAGACATAAACCTGTGTGAACTTGCAAATACCAAAGGCCTCAAGTCATTAAAGCTGAAAGAACTAAAGTGCATAACCGACCACTTCCATCTACACGTTACAGGATCCACAGCAAGAAAAGACACTTTCATCCAGGCATTGAAGCCCATCATAGGCACATGCCCATGTGCAAACTGATTTCTTATTTTGTAGTTTTGTAGCATAATGTGTACCAAAAAGTACGAGGCATTTTTTACCCAATTTGTCAAGCTGTAGGCAAGACCAGAATCTCCTACTATGATTGTACTAACATTTTACTTGGTATCACCAGTACAACAAAACTAAGCCTGTTTTTTAAGCATTATGTGTTTCAACAGTTTTTTAAAAACTTCTTGGTTTTAGATACATGTAAATCTCTCTTGTGTTTGGCACAGTATTGCATTTGTATTTTGTAGATTGTATGATACCATGACTGTTTTTAGACGATTGTAAATATGTATGGTAAAGCTCTGCATGCATGTGGCCTGTGTATCAAATGGTATAACATTTGTGACGTCTTGAATGATAACACCAATGCAGAACCTTTTATTGTGTACAACAATGATACCAGTAATAGGATATACTAAGTGATATAGTAACTGTTACATGTATAATTAGAGTAAGGTACCAACTTAATGCCATTATATAAGAGAGCCCAAACAAATGTATTTTAATCTAAAAGACTGCATGATTAATGTACAAGTACATGTATCTGTTGAAGAAAATATCTAGCTATGACTGTGGGCTCAAAAGAGATCAGCGCAAAACTGTGTATAATGGTCGAGAAAAATGCATTTTATGGAGATGGAACGTAACTCATGTAAGTTGCTAACGGTAAAATCCATGTTTTTTTAGCTGCCTTTACAAAGTAATTCTGTTTCCACTATTATAGCACACGCAGGACATTTATAATGGAGAACATTTATTGCAATGGCTAAAGATGGCGTTGGCAACTTGTTATGGTGTTCCACTTGCCGCATTTATGTCTGTCATAATGTGTATATAATGTAATTATACACTTAAAAGGAAACAAAATATGTGCACGGTGTCCTATTAACCCCCATACAGACCCCAGATTATCGGTATCTATTTTGTCTATGCTCAAACTTTAAGTTAGTAATAATCCGCGAATGTAAAGTGGGGCAATATGCATCATTCACGTGGTATTAGTCAGTAAATTCAATTTCAAGTATTCACAGAACCCCCATACAGACCCCAGATTATCGTAATCTATTTTGTCTATACACAAACTGTAAGTTAGTAATAATCCGCTAATGTAAAGTGGGGCAATATGCATCATTCACGTGGTATTAGTCAGTAAATTCAATTTCAAGTATACCCAGAACCCCCATACAGAGCCCATATGACTTTTTTGACAATCTTTTTAGCAGTCGTCATGTCCCGTCATAATTCTGATTCGGAAAGACACCGATGTAGTCAATGGTTTTTGCATTAGGGTAGCAAAAATGCTTGATTCAGTGTTTTTTCAGAAATGAAAATACCCCATAATTAGCCCCTTCCCATGACTTCCAATATTTAGATCCCAAATAAACGACAATTGTTTCTTGATATATAGATGTTCCTCTGTTTAGAAAAAGCAAAACCAATCCAAACAAATGCAGATAGTGTGACAAATGACCCTTTGAAAATCCCCAATATTTAAAGAAATTCAAATTGTGCTTTCTATGGTTCTGATAACCCCCATGCATACCCTTTGAAGTTCAATGCCAGATCTTTACATTTGGTCTCCTGAGACTAGAAAGATGAGGAAATCTATAAATTAAAAGCATATGTCAATATCTTTTGTAGAACTACGGAGAGAGCGCTCCGAATATCGGGAATTTCCAGGCAAAAATTCCCCAATTATTGAGGGTCTCCATGGGGGGGGGGGTCCATAACTCCATAACAAAGAAAAGCTGGAGGGTTTTAATCATATGGCTGGTGATAGTTCCCCATACCTATCCTATATACAAAATATGAGCGGATTTGGCCGACCCCCATCTTCCGGCCACTGCCTGGTTTTCTCATGCAATGACTCTTAAGTATTAATACGACGCTACGTTCCTGCAGCATACTGTGGTCGGACCAGGAGTATGGGCGTCAAAAATTGTTCTAATTGTAAGAAACCTCTAAATCTCCAAGAATAATTGATAAGTGCAATCTGAAGGGTTAATCCCCAGAGACCACAATGGGCATCCCCAGTAGGGGGCGTGCCTAGGAGTTAGCTATAGGACGTGCGGGTTCTCTGTCTGGCTTTAAGTAGCTCAACCCTATCTGGTGTCTTGCACGCAAACTTCCATCTCAATCTCAAAGCTCTCGATCGTTAGCTGTTCAAGCTCTTTACCTTACTTTGAAGTTCATGCTTACTTTACTTTTTTTTCTTTACACTGTACATGCGATTCGGACATGCTTTTGAAAAAAAAGAAGAACTGACTTGACTTGATAGCACTTAAGATAATTGTTGCATTATATTACACTTCAATTGATCCGGGCCTGGCAAGGTTGTAAGCAAGAGGCTTTATTGACATTATAAAAAATGGTTATATCATTTCTAACGTTGAAACGTACCTTTATGCCTTTACATATTCATTCCTAATGAATGTCATGTGGTATGCAAGCCGTTTGCAATTTCGGACGGTTCGGATTGCAAGCAGTTGCAATTGATTGAATACTAGTACTGGTATCAATTTCAATACCATGGGTAGTTAATAGGACCTTATCTCCATCAATATACGCTGCTCATATTGAGAATTCCAATTGCACTTTATACATGGCATTAAGTCGGTTTTAGTAATATTACGTTACATATGCACAAGTAATATTATCACCACTCTCATCTTCACAATTACATGAAGTATATTGATAATATTTGCCTCATTTCTATATCATATCACGCGCGGTAGATCATCGGTAACGGTAACTGGTGTTCTAAATGCGTCTAATGTGCAGCCTCTGAATTTATTTTGGTCTTCTCATTAACACTAGCATACGGATGAAGAGCTTAATATTTTCATGTTACATAATTATACGCTTGATACGGTACTCTAGGTTGTGTTATGATACATTTTGTGTTTTGATTTCGTTCCTTTCTTATTTCACGTTACAGATAGGACCTTTTTGTTCATAGTCTTCATCAGAACTAGCTTAAATGCAGCACGTTCTTTAATCTATCATGAACAGCCAATGCATGCAGAGGAGTTGTACTAATAGTATTACTCAGAAGTACGCCCAGAGTTACAAAATACAGGTACAGATAATGTCTAGTTTGTGCAGTAGATCCCTGTAGCAATTCATTCAACCATCGCCTTAAGTCGTGTCAATTCACAAGGCACTGCCTATAGCCCGAATACATCCAAGTTCAGGGTGTACACAAATACCTTGCATACAACACGATTACTACGACTATTCAGCAGTTATCGTAATTTTGCTGGTATCTGACGTACACTCCGTAACTTATGATAAACAAGCAAAACATTACGGGGTAAGCTATACGGCAGATGCTGTCCAGTTGATCCGCGTATTCCTGACGAGTCTTCGGTGGTTTTCGCGGCAGCTGTGCATCAGAAAACGAACCCTTCCGTATGTTGTAAGTCGTCTTCTTGCACTTGGAATCGGTGGCATCGTCGAAATCGTTGAGATGTTGTTTGTCCTTGTCCTCTCGTAGCAGGGACTTGAATCCCTTCTCTCTGTTGCCGAGAAAACCATCGTCGATGGGATCAGCCTCCATTTCGGGTTGAACATCTTGGGGCTGCAGGAGTAACACATTTTACGAGAAGTTGTTACAGAAATTCACCTGCATGAATCCGTTTGTAACGTTTTTGTATATTGTTGGGTACAATTTGTATTTTTACGAAATTGTATGTTCTAATGTGTGCCCAGGGATACCTGAAAAGCAGATCAATGGATCTGAGGTATTCCCTGGTGAAATAAATAAACTTGAACTTAAACTTGTTTGATATACACAGAACCAACAGCATTTCTGACAACAATTGTTGAAAATTTGATCTCATCCATATAATCAAATCAACATGGCCTTAAGTTCATGAAGGACTATCGAAAGCTTTTGCTGGTGTATGAAGTTTGTAAACGTACTTGAGATGAGCTTGATGTGACGAGGAAGTTAACAACGGCATACTCCATCAGGGCGAAGCAGACAAAATTCTTGCACATAAACAGCCAGATGTCAATGGCACGGATGTAATCCAGGTGTGAATCAGACGACCGCATGTTCTGAAAACAAACAAACAAATCAATCAATCAATCAATCAATCAATCAATCAATCAATCAACCAACCAACCAACCAACCAACCAACCAACCAACCAACCAACCAACCAACCAACCAACCAATCAGGTTATTCATGGTTAAAGTAAGATACTGGAAGCCTTACGCATTGTTGTACAAAAAGAGATCAGCTCTACAGTTATCGAATTCTTCAACACATATCGATGAATCAATTACATACTCAGGGTTTGCAAATTAAATTTTATCACATAATGGAAATGCATATTTAGTTAGACGTGAATAAAATACTTTGCCACAAAGTTTGTACATGTACCATGGCTTCTTTGTGCCATGCATAAATGACTAACACATGACAGCTTTTACTTAAAGATTTTGTGTATTACTAGGTATAAGAAAGTATGATTTGACAAAAAGAAAATCGAAAGGAACGGAAAGAAGTGCTCTCGATCCAGTTTTAGCTCACTGAAGAGCTATTCTCCCACTGGTTGTAACATAGAAAACAAACGCTATGTACAGTATTTACAGGAATAGAAATCTGTGTATCAATTATGTAGATCTGAATTCTGTTCAAGTCACCCACCACTGATAGCATTGTGAGGACGGTAGTCACACCGAGCCCAGTCCTGGCTGGAGCCGAGCGAGCGTCAAGCCAGAACGATATCCATGCCAAGAACACGATCACCGAGGCCGGGGCGTAGGCGTTGATGAAGCCGTGCTCCACGTGTCGTCTTAGGAGGAGCTTAAACTCCAAAGTAGTAGAAGACAACAGGTTCCTTGTGGACAGACCTGCAGGTTATATGATTGAAGTTCTTTATTACAAGTTCATGCCCAAATCACTTAAAACATGCAAGCAAACATGTCTAAGATCCTAGCCTGGTGTCCGTTGGCGGGGAGCATACTTAAGCTGGACACCAGGCTATAAGGGCCATGCGCGTGTGGTTTAATTAACACCATTTATGCTACATTTCTGTATGCTGTATTTTGGTTCAATGAAAATTGAACATGAAGTCCAAGAACATGTAGGAAGGATACAGGTAGGAATGTGGTCAATTGCAAGTATGTACTTTTAAGCGTATTTTTAAATCTGTCATTGTTGTAAAACACGCAATTCAGCCTGCGGCTGCCATGTGTTTTTTGACGAATAAACCTTTCATTCATTCATACGCATGTATTTACTCGCCCCTTGATGTATTATCAAAACACTCCTTGAATGTCTGTGGTGCACACCGCCCGCCGAAGTGGTTACATTTGATGCACTCGTGCCTGTGTAGGTTGTCGGCGTCTGAACACTTCATCCGTGAGCAGGCATCCGAGCCTTGGTAGTCACACCTCCCCCGCTGGTAAACACAAACCTTACCTGAAACAGAAAGAGTGCTAGCATTCGTAACATTAGAGAAGAGTAGAAGTATTGCTATTAGAGGAGAAGTATTGTTATATGTTATATATAACAGCAAAAGAAAATAACACTCAGCAAAATAACAATCAAGTAAATAGGGAGCTAATCCATGAATAAGTAAAATGGTTTCAATTACTTGGATCAAAGTAAGATCCCACGTAGCTGGTGTAGTTGATAGCGTCAATCAGGAAGTTTGACCGTACAGTCGACATCAGTGTTGCCACTACAGAACTGTTGGGAAGCCAGTACATCGGCTGGTCCCACCTCACCTTCACCCCTCCATCTGCAGAACACAAACATTGGATTCCTGAATAAAAATTAAACTGTTCTCCAACTCAAAAAGAACTCCCTCGGCGGGATTTCCAGCAAATGTTGTAGAAACGTTATGTTTCCTGACGTGTGACGTCAACACGCTGGGTCAGGGCCAACCAGCTTTCTCTCAACCGGGACGGGGGGCGGCACCGACTTTATACGAACTTTTACCCAGTGCTGACATCACACGTCCGAAAAAAAATTATGTGTCTACAGCACCTGGGCCAGATAGCTGATGAAGACAGAGAGAGATTCGGTCGAAAATTGCGGCGATTTACCTAGTTGGAAATCAGTTTTCCTTATGCAAGTTGAACTCTGGTGAACTTTCATGCTAATCGGATTCCATACTTCATGTTTTTCAAACACTAAGACCTTGCTGGAGAAAGCTTGGAGACAGAGTCAATCAATTGTTCACATGTGTTACGATGATCCAAGGACTACGCGATGCAGTGGCATTGTTTATATTATTATCAAGTTATCTTTGGAGTCACTTACAAAACAATACTGGCACAGCACAACACTGCAGGTCGTGGGGGTAGTTACGGAGATCCATTTTGCACGCTTGCTGTAGAACTAACCTACATCGTGAATACACGTAGATATACATCAACATGAACACATATATACAGATACAAATACAGCATGATATAACTACAACACTTGAGAAACGAGCATTTGACAAAATACATACTTCTTTGTGGACTGATGGAAGTTGCGTGAGGCAGGAATTTTGAACATGCTTTTACTATCAGACTGTCACATTGTATCATAATTTCACGAATTGGTAGTGATCATAATACAATGTTAAAATTTATTACGGTGGATCCAAGACAAAGCGTACATACAGACGTCTTTATCGACGTTGCAAAACGCATACTACATACGTTTGGGCCAAAATCACACTTCCATCGTAGAGAAGCACTGGAGGAAAGAAATCCGAACGTTTTTGATATTCATAGGAGAGCACGGATGTTTTGATGGTAGGTCTCCAAATGTCCCCCAAGATGTAGCTGGAACCAGTGCTATTCTCCGGTCTGGCTTCCAGCAACCTTGTATCCCTCCATTGGCAAGCCAAGACGAAATTGATGTAAAATGCCTTAAAAACAAAATAAAACCATGTTTTGTTTACTCGAGGCCGATCCAGAAAGCCCATCATTTAACTTTCACAAATCTCTATCCAAATTGGCAGTTATACACGTTAATGGCTAACAAAACATGACATTGCACAGCCATGAACTATAAGTATGATTGATATGTTTAGCATCTTGTAATACGACTGTGGCTTACCGTGTCTCTGAACATTTGATACCGTGTCAGTGTGTCAAGTCTGAGAATGATGACGCTGCATTTCATGTCAACCTGACCATCTGTGGCAAACACAACATAAGATCAATCGTAAGATGCAAAAATGCTATAACATGAATGTGCCCCCAACTTCCAATATGCACCAAAACAAAATTAAAAACACCAACCAACAAAACAAAAGGAACAGGATAAAGTTCTAGGATTTTAGGTGTAGTTGCCAACACTATGCCATTTTTTTCATTGTATTGGATCCTGTTACCATGGGTTCGTTTCTCAAGTAATCGTACGCCTTAAAGCTGTGTTTGGCTTAAATATTTTCACGATTTACCCTAATCTGAAAAAAGATGTTCCCCAACGTAGCTCATTTTCATAATAAAATTTCTCTGTAAGAAAAATATTAAATCTTTCAGACAAAGAGTTGAATTGATGACTCAAGAGTTGAGTTGATTGAATTCAATATCAACCAATCTGTAACGACGTTACGCGACAGTATTTCAACATGTCAATTAAGTCGTCTCATTAATCATTTATGATATCTTGTAGAAATTGTATCTTTCCCGAATCCGTGCAGTATGAACCCCGGGATGAGATTAGCAACCCATTAAGCAATTATCAGTACTTATGTTGGAGATTATTGATTTTGGGATGCCAGAAAACCAAGAATGGGTTCATATTACATAGCGCTAGCCTCTACGTATTGTTGATCACACTTAAACCATATATATATATATATATATATATATATATATATATATATATATATATAAAATGCAGCCAGCAGGTCATTTAAGATTTTATGAATAAACAAATGCAAGCAAATAATTTATTCTATGTAGTATATATAGATCTTGCAACCGGGTTCTATCAGACGTTTCGATTTCAGTATCAATGGTAACTTTTAATCTTATAGTATTGGGAAAGGCCAAAGATAAACCTCAAGGTTTCCGGCCCTCCCATGCATGTCTACTTAACTTAAATTGTTGTATTTCATTTTAAAAATAAAACAAACTATCCAGGGATTAGTGAAATTAAAGAAAAGGAAAAGTTAATGTTCAAATAATATGGAAGAAAATAATAACATAGCATTCTATACTATTCTGAAATACAGTTACTTTATATTTCTTACTCTCTGTTGGTGGGGGATCACGATGGCTGTAGTTCTTTGGTACCACGACAGAAGTACTGATGTACGGCATGTCACTGAAGGTTGGGGTGTCTGTTCCATTTGAAACCCTGAGGGGCAAAAGAAAGATGTATATTTTCAAGGTCATGAGGAAAATTTTTGCAATATAATCTATATTTAGATTAAGTTTGATATTGGGTCTTGTATATTTTATTTTGTGATAGGCAGGATGGAGGTGCAAGCACTGGGCCAATGTATTTGAGCATCCCATGACTTAAGAACATTGGTATACATTGGTAGAAAGCATAAAGGTGGTTCTAGATTGCACTGCCTCCATTATATTTTAGCAAATGAAATAGTACATAGTACATAGAGAATGAACAAAATTCTACATCATCTCCTGTATGAGTCACCAACAATAAATGCTACAAACCTATCATAAAATGTAGATTGAGTTCCCATAGAACTAAAAGGATAGAAGTCATTTCTTGCATCAAAAACTTGAAAGATTTCTATTTTTCAATTAGCAACCCACATTGTTATAATATGGTAAAAGTAATATTAATGTTAGTCTTGCGGAAAGGAAATGCGATGTGTTTCCATGGATGGACTAGCACATTGTGTACACTTTCTGACAACCAGGCCTAGGCTCTTTCATAATAACAAACTTACACCGATGAATAAGACAGTGTATGAGTGCAAACTTACTGGTCATTGTCAGGAGAGCTTCCGTCTTGGGAAAATACCATTGGTACAGCCAACATGAATATCAGTAGAGCTTCCATCGCCATCTTTGTCGTGAATGGACGACACAACTGAAGACTCGATGTCCTCTCTTTCAGCGAAAAATGACGGCTGTTCATTGAGTTGGCATGTGTTTCTATCTTGAAGCGTTTGTCACCATATCGAGATTCGATCTCAGCAGCCATCTGACAACTATCGCATTCCACCACAGTTATTAACGGTATGACATTACTGTATAACGTTTAGTAACACTACACAGACTGCATGTCTGCTGTACTCTGTCCTATATCAGACCATGATCAATATCAAACCGGTTTCTGTCACCATAATGACATTGTAGACTACATTAACACCACGCAACAGCCATGATACGTACATGTCTGGATGTGGTGTTTCTATAATCAAGTTTTCTTTCTCGTAGAAGTCATTATAGGTATCAAGAAGATACTATAGGTAAAAAAATGCGATTCAACGGACATAACTGCACAATTTTCCCTTTCTTAAAGTTTTAATTGCCGATTTTCATCATTATCAATGCCGATTACGATCTTACGATCAGTCCGAGGTGCTTCTAATGTCATCATTTATATTCCCCAAATGCAGATTTTACACTCTCAAAACTTGGAAGTGAACAATGGTGTTCATGAAATTATTGTATATCAACAGGGGAAATAAAACAAATATGCCTGTAAAATAATAGTATGTCAAAATGTTTTAAATCTGTCTTCGTTGTCGTTGTCGGTTTGATGTAAATGTTTTGTAGATTGAGTTGCATGATTTGAATATCTTTGAAATCGCTTGGTTACAAGTAACTGTCGAACCATTATGTAACCTCGATCCTGTAATCATTTTGGGGGGGGGGGGGCAATTGGATACAGGCGGCCGATACAGACTCCCGTTGCCCCACAGAATCTACTTGGAGACAAGTTGACCTGTCAGCTGCCTCTCTGGAACGTTCTTCTTCCAAACAACACAGCTGTGCATAGACGTACAAAATTGCCCTTACATTAACCTGTTATCGTTTTACCGGAGCATCTTGCATTATTGAAGAGAATCTCTTCCCTTTGGAGACGGACCAGATAAGAACAATCAAGTTAGTAAGGCGTGTCTGATACCTTGTGTGACATCTGTTGACATAAGGAGTGGGAAGATAAGATGATCAGCGATGCACCACAAGACCTTTATCTTGTAATTTCATTTACTCAGTGTGAGTCATCTGCTCAAATTCTTACTCCATTAGCGTTACTTATAGCTTCACACTTGTCAATGACCACTTGGCATCTTGGGA